GCATTTTGGGTTTTGCAGCGGTTTTTGTGGGGTTTGAGGGGTATCTTCTGGGGTGTGGGGTGCTTGATACAGATCTCAGAGGGCGTTTAAAGGTTGCAGGGCGAAGGGTCGCAATGTGCAACACTTCATAATCTTTCCGGAATCGCTTGGCAGACGCTTTTGTGTGACAGAGAACCACCTGGGAATTCTTTGGCCTGGGATCTTGTCTTCCATTCGGGTTCTGCGGGTCTTATGCTGTCGTTCTCCATGGTACCCTGAATCTACGTAAACCCTAAGCCCTGGGATGCCGAGTAGTACCCGTATTCCCTTTTTGTAGTCCTAGGTTCCTTATAAAGTTATCCAATGCCAAAAAGGGAGCCCTTTGTATTCCTAGGTTGCTGGGCATCCTAGAGCCTAAGCTCTAAATCTTCGATGACCTTAACTTGGGTTTGAATGGGTTACAGAAAAGCTACCCTTCGCAGCCACCGCACTGCAAAATCCTTCATGTCCGAGTCTACAATGTTGCCGCTAGAGACACTCTATTCAAACACGTAGCTGCATTGGCAACACTACTGCCAAACAGCAACAGAAGTCGCAAGTCTCAGTGAGGAGTACGGGTAACAGTAGCCTGCATAGTAAGCACAGATCTTGCAAATGGCACGTGGCCCCCCAAACAGATAAGAAACCCCCCATCCCCTGACGCTTGAACTCTAAACTCTAAACTCTAAACTATCTCTAACCTCCGAAAAAGCCTGAACCCTCAACCCCACGTAGTCCCTGAGCCCCTAAGCCCGTATTTGTAGGTTAGTTAAGCTAGTCATGTGGTGTTGGACCCTTCGTTGTTTTGCGACTCAAACCCCCGAGGAGTTGCAGTCTCACCCAACAGACATCGAACCACATGCCTCGCCTGGATTGTCCGAGTGTGAGCGCCGAAACCAAAAGCCAGATGATGGAAGAGCTTTTTGTCCAGAGGTTCGACCTCGTCTTGGTCGCCATCGGATGGCTTTTCATCGCACTGGACATGAGCTTCGGATAAGCTCTTGCGATGCTCTCTGAGGGTGTAGAGTTCAGGGTTTGGGGCTCATCGTTTGCGAGTCTTTAGTCTAGAGCAGAGGGTTTCTAGGGATTTAGGGGTCAACGCATCGGCCTCAGTACGGGTTTGAAAAGACGGGTCAGGGTTATGGGGCCCAGGGCGTTAGGGTCGCGGGGTTGAAGGGATGTGCCACGGTAGGCAGGTACAGGCCTGATGCACATTCATGTGAGAGCAGTGCTATTCCACGCTCCTGGACGTACGTATGAATAACTATATACGTACATGTACACACTTCATGATGCAAGTACAGTTACAGATACACGTAAAGAAGAAGTAGAACATTGGTTGTGTGGCTACACATGAATACATACACAGAAAAGAAGATCGCTCGATAGATCGATGATCATGCATTTAGGCAGATAGACAGATAGGTGGATAGGTAGATAGGTAGACAGATAAATACGTAAGATAGATAGACAGACCGGAAGATAGATAGATGGATAGGTAGCTAGATAGGAAGATAGATAAACAGACAGACAGATAGATGGATAGATAGACAGATTAACAGATGGATAGATAGGCGCATGAACCTATAACCAATCACCCAAGTATGTCGTTACATAAACAAACATCTAGGTTTTAGCCATACGCACATGCACACAGATAGATAGATAGATCGAAAGATAGAGAGGTAGGTCGGTCGGTGGGTAGCTGCGTCGGTAGGTAGCCCACGGCATTTTACATACTGCCTAAGCTGTGAACGCTGCCTGAGCACAAACCAGTCGATCTAGTACCTTAAACCTCGGCACTGCAGCCGAGGAACGAAACCGACGAAACCCAGACGGCGGCTTGGCTAAAGTATTGAGAAAGGTTTCGAAACTCCTTGCTGGCCCAGGTCTCGCTTGTAAATTTTCGGGAGCCGGGGCCATGGATTCCTAACTAAGTGGTTCTGTGTGGGGGGCTTTTGCAGCTCATGCATTGTGCGTTTTTGCGCGGCCAAAGTGGACTCTCTGCAGGCTTCTCATCACGTTTCTCCTCCTGCTTTGCCGCCCCCTTCCCCTCGTACCATTGCTCTTGCTACTGCTACCACTACTGCTGCTGCTACTTCTCCTTCTACCACCGCCACTACTGCAGCCGCTGCTACTGCAACGACGACTACTACGACTGCGACTCCGTGTCCGATTGCTGCGGTTAGGACTGCGGTGACGACGATGACGACGACTTGTACAAATCACAACGGCCCTGTAAAAGCTACTCCTAGTGTACTGTACTGGTACTATGACGACGACGGCCGAAGCAAGATCAGGTTCAGGTTGACAATCCCACTTCGCGACTCACGATGGGATGGTGCAGAAGACACGACTGCAGGGTGATGGTGGTCGATGATGTGGTCGTGGACGGCGATGATGATGATGCTTTGACTGTAGAGGGTGGCGCTGACCTTAAACCCCAAATCTCAAATCCCCTGAACCTGTGCTCTGGGACCTAAAAACCGCAAGCCTCAGGATCTCATCGCCTGGTCGCGGACCCTGAGAGCGCTCCGGTTCCTGCGATTTGTGCGGGTTCTACGGTGGAACCTGGGCCGCATCTATGGAAAAAGCAAAGATGACGGGCTCAGGGTTTTTGGTCTCTCTGCATAGACTCAGACTCTATCCGATGCTTGATGTGCCAATGCCTGTAGTTAGTGGACCGTAGCGACGAGAAGTGGTGTACCACTTCGCTCTCTTCGTTTGCGTGGATATTCATGACGACTAGCTGTCGTGGAAGACAGTTCCTGTGCATTGGCTTCCGCTCATTTCAAGCCACCCACAGGTCAACAAATGCAAACCTTACACTGCATCGCACCCGTGAGCCCCTAATCACGCCCCAAATGCCTAAACTCCAACCCCTAAACCCTAAATGCTAAACCCTGAACCCTACCTTGACCTACCCAAACCTACTTTATTGTAGGGTCCCCATAAATTCCATATTAGGGGTTTATAATCAGAACTTACAAAAAAAACAGGGTTTGGTAGTTTAAGGTACACCCCTAAAACCTTAAACCCTAGCCCCCCAAAGCTGCAAGACACCACAACCCAGGAGCTGCTCATGGCCCTAAAAAGCCCCGAAGCCCTGGTGGTCGCCGTCTTTAGTGGGTTTCCAAGCTTATCCCCAAGCCCTAAACCCCTAGGTGATAGGATCCCTTAAGGATCCCCTTTGAAGGAAAACCCGTTCTAACTCTTCTTTGGCCGCCACTTTCTTCCACCTTCAGGTTGAAGCTGCGAGGCCGCTGGGGGAGAGCCAAGTGGGCTTGGAACTGGGAGAACCGGATATTTTTGATGCTTCCTTTGAGGGTCCCTTAAAGGGCTCCCTTAATGGATGTCTGTAAGGGTGCATTTAGTGTTTAGGGTTCAGGGGGTTTTCTAGAAGGGTGACTCTACGGGTTCAGCAAAGGGGCCTTGGTATCTAGCATGAGAGTATCAGTATCACGATTGATTTTAAGTGATTCCTTTGAGGGGCTCCATTTAGGGTTGTTCCTTTCAGGGCTCCTCTAAGACTTGAGGGTTTTTTCAGGGCTCCGTTGAGGGTGGGTCCTTTAACGGCTCCTCCAAGGGTTGCTTCAACAAGGTTCCTGTAAGAGGATCCTTTAACAAGGGGAGCGTTTCGGGTTTAGGAGTTTGGGGAGTGAGCATCTGGGGTTTCTGGTTTGTGGTTTAGCGCCGCGGGTTTCGAGGGTTTTGCGCGGTGAATGGCCGTAAAGCCCAGCTTTTCGGAGCGGTGTGGGCGTTTGGAGCCATGGCTTGGGGTGGCAGGCCCTACCTAAACCCTAAAACCCTCAACCCTAAACCTTAAAACTCTAAACCCTAAACCCTACAAGTCTAGGTTACACTGGGGCTTAGTGGTTCCCTACTTAGGATACTAGGAGCCACTGGATTCGATGTGCATCGTCACGCCTAAGTAGGCCACAAGTATAGAGCTAAGAAAGCCAGAAGGGGGTTTCCGAAAAAAGGGGTATCTTAGGATCCTACTATTCAGGCTACTATATATGGGTCCCCTATTTTCGGAGACTCCCATAACAACCTGATACCCCCAACCCCCGTGCATCCCTAAACTTCTCGAAGATCCTAAGCCCTGATGAAGCTCTTCAGCTACAATAGAAGAGGCATTATGGACAAACCTTCGGACACTCTTCAACTACATCGGTAGCTCTCTAAATAAAGGTCCCTACTCAGGATCCTTTTTTTATAAGGATAAACGGGTGCCGTACTATTTTTTGGACCTACTCCCGGACGCTAAGTAGCTTACCAACTAGTAGGGAATGGAAGAATGGTAGTAATAGTAGTTGTAATGGTACCCCATTCCTCCGTTCCCTACTAGCCAAAGGTAAGGTAAGGGAACTCCCCACACGTACTAATTAGTTTTTGGACCTACACCCTAAACCCTAAACCCTATAAGTTAGGGACCTCCCCACACAGAGAAGGATCGGACTCCCAGAGCTCCGCTGCCGCCAGGGGTCGCTGAGGCGTTCCAGGAGCTCTTCCACTCGAACTCTGCGCCGCCGGGATACTAAAGAGTAGGGTTTAGGGTTTAGGGTTTAGTTTAGAGATACTATAGGGGCTTCGGGCTTTAGGGGCTTATGGGTTTAGGAGTTTAGGGGTTTAGGGGCTTAGGGGTTTTGCAGATGAGCATGTCTTCTGCCAGAGCATGTGCTGAGAGCGCTGTGCAGCTTGAGCGACCATGTTGTACGATGCTCCGTGGCTCAGGGAATGGCTACGAAGTAACCCTTGTGCCACTCTTGATAAGAGGTTCAGCTAGCGAGGCAACAGCCACACAACTGTACAACTTTGATGGCAGACAACTCGCTCAAAGCTTTTTGAACCATTTGCAATTCAGGAATACTTACACAGCTTGATTCGTTCGACCGAGTGAAAATAGTCTTCGCGCCGTGCATTTGTGTTTCATGGTTGCGATTCCAATTCGATAAAGAGCCGGCAGCTCTTTGCAGGTTATGAGCGCCCAACCAACGCTGCCGTTGGTAAACGGAACAGGGCCACTACAAGGAGAACTCCGGGGCGAAAACCCGCCCGGTGAGCAGCGGGAACCTGGAACTGCAGATGGCGGAGCTCGAGCTGTTGGCGAACACAGTGAAGTGGAGGCTGGGTCTGTGCGAGAAGGGCCAGCTCCAACTACGCAGCAGTCGAGGGATGGTGCTTCAGCGTCCCCTGGGGACCCTACGAGGGAATCTGTACGAGGGCGGGCCAGGCAAGAAGCTTTTCTGGCGACCCACGAGACGGACCCGGCGAGGGCTACTGGGATAGCGCGCGGAAGTTCAACGATACAGCCGCAGTCGCAGGTGGGTTTCTTGACGCCGAGATCGACGTTATCGGCGCCGCCAGGACCAAACTGGCTGAACCAGGTGGAGTTGCCTCGGTGGATGACGAGGCTTGGGTCGTACCTCAGCGCTGGGCAGAGCGACCCACTGGCACCAAGCCCGCTAGCGGGTTCGGTGTCTCAGCACTCCTCGCCTCCAGGCGGTCATGCCTTTACGCTGAGATCGCCGTCGCGGCGGGAGAGACCACCTCGACCTCCTACTCCAAGCTCGTCGTCGTTGCCAGCTGAGGCGATCCAGATGGAGGTGCAGCGACAGCTTGGAGGAATGCTGAATAGACTACAGATGGCGGAGAGGGAAAATGAGCGGCTGAGACAGGAGTTGGAGAGTGCGAGAAGGGCGGAGCTACCGCATCGTGATGTACCAGCACTTCCTGCTCCACAGGCTCATGCTCCACCAAGGTCTGAGCAGCAAACCCTGGACTTGGACCGGGCAGCGGCCCGGGATGTGATGAGCACTGCTGTGGCTCCAACGAGAAGTACGGCACCTCGGCTCGAGCAGGCGGAGGGCACGATGGGCAGCACGTCTATCTTTGGTGGTCCGGGACTACGGGAAGGGCATGGAGGGTTACTCGGTGATCTTCTTAACGCTCCATCAGGACCCGGCCTACTCCAAGGTGATCCTGCTTCTACGACGATGCCTACACCCATGACCACGGCACCGCAGCCGCCACCACAGCCCCCACAGCCTTATGAGGAGGGCTTCTTGAGAAGTTGGCTAGCGCCTAGGGGAAGAAGTACGTCACCTCCGCCACCACAACCACGCCAGCAACCTGGGTCTCCTGTCATAGATGCCCTTACTAAGAGCATTCAGCAGCTTCAAGAATTACAAGCCCAGGCGATGGCAAAGAGTTCTGCACCCCACTCAGCAGAGCAGATAAAGCCAGGCACGCTGTCGCTGGCTCCGCTACCAGATCCTCGAGGCGGGTGCGAAGCAGCTCTTCAGTTCCAGGATTGGATGGAAGTTGCGGGATCTGTTCTATCTGATGTTTCGGAGCTGAGCGGAGAGTGGTGGAGGGAAGTTGTTTCCAACGTGGAGAGCACCTACTCGAGATGGTTGGCAGTGACACCGCTGGAGAGGTTGAATATAACTCCGGTGGGATCAGATGGACTCACTAGTGGGAGATGGACAAGGCTGAATGCGAGGGTGTCTTCGATGCTGCTTTCGGCAATGGGCGAGGGGCTTCGATCCGACATGGTGGCCCAGCGCCTGACTCAGGACACGGTCCGCATGGTTTTCCGGCTCCACACAACGTTTCAGCCCGGAGGGTCTGCAGAAAGGCATGATGTTTTGAGGAGGCTGCAAGCACCGAGTGAGTTCGTTGCGACGGAGAGCCTGGAGGACACCCTGAAGGCCATTAGAGCGTGGCCGAGATGGTTGGCACGGTGCAAGGCGGTCAATATGAGCCCGCCAGATGCCTCGGTATTGGCCCGAGGCTTGATGGCGATGTCTTCCAGGCACATCAATGGGTCGCCTGATGCTGCGTTCCGCACCAGCATGCTGAGGACTTCCCTACGGCTGGACGGGCAACCAACCTTGGAGCAGGTTGCGGCCTACCAACGACATCTTCAGGCAGAGCTGGAAACCATGGCGAGTGCGGCGAGTACTACCACCCAGGTGTCTCCAGGGCTTCGGGCCATAGAAAAGGCGGCCTCACCCAAAGGAGGCAAGGACAAGGGGTCTGGGGCTCCAGTGGATCTTTGTCGATACTTCTTGAAGCCGTCAGGTTGCAAAAGGGGGTCTCGCTGCACATATTCGCACAGCATGGCCTCTCTCGACAAGGAGACCAGAAGTCGCAAGTGTCTTCAGTGTGGCGCGGAGGGTCATCGACAGAAAGACTGCCCAGTAGCGAAGGGTGGCCCGCGGTCTAGTGCGGTCGCTAACTCGCCGACTGGTGGGGGGCAAAGACAGCGAGAAGCAGAGGCCCCAACAGTCTCCACCATGACTCCGTGTACCACACCGGCATCTACGATGATGAGCTCTACGGCATCGGTGGCTGGAACTCCATGGACCCTCGAATCTCTGGTCCAGGCGGCCCAGCAGATTGTCCAGTCCCAAGGAGGAGATAGTCGTGAAGATCGGAGTCCAGAGAAGGTCAAACCGGACATGAGAACACTGGTTGTGAAGGACATTAAGATCTCTTCTTTGGGGTTACCGTCTTCGGCACTCTTGGACTCAGGTGCCACCCACAGCCTTCGAAACGCATATCACCAAGAGGAGTGGGATGGCGCAGAAGATGTGGTGGTGCAGCTGGCAGGACAAAACAAGCTGACGATGAAGTTGTCAGCTGGGGGCACATTGTTGATGCCACCGAGGGAGGACAGGGGATCCTCATCAGCTGAAGCAGTGGGTGGAGGCACGATCGTTTCGATGGGCGAGCTAGTGAGAACGCTGGGCTACACCTTAGTGTGGGGGCCGAACCAATGCCTGTTGAAGACGTCGGACGGTGAGAGCATCCCACTGGCCACCCAAGGTGGCTGCCCTTATCTTTGCGAGGCGGAAGCGTTGTCGTTGATATCGAGGTTGGAAGATCGAAAAAGGGAGCGCCTAGAGAATGAGACGACTACGACCCTGGATCGTGTGGAGATGGCGGCAATGCGTATGGATCGTCATTGGATGGACAACCTCCGGGCCTACGCGGAGGATGGGTCGATGGAGGCTGGAGTTAGGGCCCTACGGGATTCTACGTTTTTGCATCAACTCCCAGGAGAATGCCGAGATGGTCTTCTACCAGCGGGCCTACGTGATGAAGGGTGGAAAATCATGAAGAATGTGAACTTCCTAACGAGGGCTCAGAGGAGATACCTTTGGGGGGCTAAGAAGTGGATCGTCCATCTATGCGCAGGAGGAGAAGGCCATTATCAGTTTTTCCAGTTGGATTCCGGCTCCACGGCAGTGATTGAGTTCGATTTGCAGCGGTGCAAGGCCCACGACGTGATGAGTGATCCTGTATGGAAGTTATTGATGTGGGGCGCCGTAAATGGAAAGGTGGATGGAGTCATCGCCGGACCCCCGGGCCGAGGAGGAGTGGGACATCCTGCAGAACCAGCACGGGATCAAGACCTCAAGGCTGTCAAGGTGATCACTCGCATTATGTGGCTTTATGCAACAGCAACAGCGGCAAGGGAGAGCAGTGTGGCAGCCTGCAACAAGGGTCGTCCGGTGGCGTTCATCATGGAGCATCCTGCGAAGGAGGTGTGCTCAGGCACCTCCGTGTGGGACCTGCCTATGTGGAGGGAGTTCCAAAGGGAGATGGGCATGAACCAAATCACCTTTGATCAGAAGGTGATGGGAGGCGAGCAACTACGAACTACGCTGGGAACCAACGTCTACTACATGATGGGCTTGGACGGATTGGGGCTGGAAGTCGAAGAGGGAACCAGCTCGATGAGCAGTACCAGTGGAGTTTGGAGCCCCGGACTTGTGAACGCAATGGTCCTTGCCCTACGGTTTTGGAGCCATTCCCCCCGTGTGGCACCAAGTCTTCATGCGCTGAGTGCAGAGCAGTGGAAACGGCATGTTCAATCGAACCACTCAGACTACCAGAAGGATTGCCTCACTTGTGTGATGGGCAGGGGCACGGGACGGAGACATGCTCGGGTTCGTCATCCCGATATGTTCACGTTGACAGTGGATGTGGCGGGTCCAGTGAAGCCAGGCCTAGACGTTTCGTCAAAGGGAACTATGGGGAAAGGGTTGCGCTACATGATGGTGGCCAAGTACACGTTCCCGAAGGAATATGTGAAGGGCTACACAGGTCGCGAACCACCAAATAAATCATGGACTTGAGGAGGATTCTCAGCAATGCGAAGGCCAAGGTCAAGTAGAGACCCAGCTCGACAAGGAAATCGCAGAACCTTCTCTACCACAACCACACGAAGGAGGGGATGAGCCGCAGTGTTCTAGCCAGGATCAAGTAGAGTCCCAGCTCAACGAGGAAATCGCAGAACCTTCTCTACCACAACCACACGAAGGAGGGGATCCGTTTAGTGTTGACGAGTTAGAACCAGAGTCACAGGAGTCGTCTTGTCCAGTCGAAGATCTACAGCAACCATCAGGCGAAGGCTGTGATCCTGAGGGAAAAGAAGGTGATGCACTACAAGGTCTGTTAGGTGGTTCCAGAAGGCAGCAGTGTGAACTAAAGGACTATGAAGACTCCCTATACGAACCGTCGCTACCAGACGAAGATCATCCCGATGAGGAAGGAGGAGATCCACATGTACAACAACCGCGTGCAGTGATTCAGGACTGCGAAGCCCCGGAGGCGACCTACCTGTTGTTCGCGAGGCCGTTACCTTCCAATGGCTCGGGGATCGTCAAGGGTGCGATTCAGGACGTGATTCTTTACCTACAGTCGCGTGGTCTCCCAGTATGTCGGCTTCATTCGGACAAGGGGGAAGTCTACTGCCATAGCATTCGCTCGTGGCTGAGGGATCAGGGGATAAGGGCAACGTTTTCAGAACCTGGCATTCCTCAAGGAAATGGTGCAGCAGAGTCAGCTGTCCGTTGGTTGAAGGATAGAGGCCGGACCCTTCTTCTGGGAGCGAACCTGCCTACGAGATTGTGGCCAACAGCAGTCGAGGCAGCCGCGGCTATGCAAAGATCCAAGGTACTGGGTGGACAGAGCCGTTTACTAGTACCATATGGCGCGACGGTGTACCTAAAGCAAAAGGCCTTCGATTCCTCAGGTCCCCGACGTCGGGAACGAGCGTTTGAGACGAGGTGGATAAAGGGACGGTATGTGGGACTAAGCAATACTCTTGACAAGGGCCACGTGGTTTTTGTTCCTGAAGGTGAAGGGCGTGGTGAAAGATTTCTACATACGTTCCACGTTAGAGCTGGCCTTGTGGATCCAGGAGGGCCAGATAACCTACAGCCAGTAGCATTGCCACCCAAGCCCAAGAGGAGATTGCTGGAGAAAACCCCCATGGAGAATGTTGAGCTCAGGGCTTTGTCGATGTCTTCAGATGATCTGGTGGAGTACATTAGGGACAGATCAAGAGTGCTACTGGATGAGTGGAGCCAACCAGATGCGATTGGACTAGTAAGGGAACTGAGCGACCATGGCTTCTTCGATGACATGAAGTTCGGGGTTTTTCGTCATGGAGGTTCCGTGGGTTGGTTGAAGAACTTCAAGGAATTCCCGGAGCTCGCAAAGGTCCTGTCAGGCATCATCCTCTACGACAACCCAGAGGCAACGTTCACGGCGATTATGGTGGCAAAGGGCAATGAGAAGGGGATGCACCGGGATTTTAACAATGACAACAAGGCGGTGAACTATGTGATGCCAATTAAGGTCCCGAAAAGGGGAGGTGAGTTGTGGATTGAACTCGGGCCCGGGGATAAGTTGACTGGTGCTGTGGTTGAGCGATGTGATGAAAAAGATCGCTCAAGGTACGGACAAGTTCTACCTCTTGTTGAGGGCCAGTGCAACGTTTTCTCCCCGAGGAAGCTACATGAAGTCCTACCCTGGGAAGGAGACCGCATCGTGCTGATTGCCTATACACCACAAGGTCTTGGCAAGGTAACTGGAGAAATGATTCGCGAGCTCGAGGAGTTCGGCTTCTCTCCACCTTTAACCCAGTACCCCGAGTACTTTCTGTTGAATCAGGAGGAGCCGGTCGTGGAAGCGAGGACCTTGGATGTGGAAGTTCCGTCCCAGGAGGAGTACAGCATAGACCCCGACCCTACGGTGGAGGAATCAGACCTGGAGGATTGGGAGATGTTCGTGGACACCGATGAGGGCAAGGTCAAGGTTGGAAGTTCGGAATCGCAAATGGACCCCAGACCTCAAGTGGGCGTGAGCAAGGTAGAGGTGACCTACACGAAGGGCATTGAGGACATCATCGCAAACCTTAAGGGCCCGCTGGAAGTGACGTATAACGTGGATCCCAAGGAGGTGTACGAGAATCTGGATTCCTGGGCTCCTGCAATCCGCAAGGAAGTCGACGGAGTGAGCGTCGCAATCAAGCGACTGCTTCCCCAGACAGTGGAGAGAGCAGAATGGTTCCGTCGACCTGGAGCACAGCGGCTCCCGGCCAAGATGGTCTTTACGATCAAACCCGGCGATGCTCCACTACCAGACCGCCGAGAAACTTGGTTTAAGCGCAAGGCGAGACTCGTTGTATGTGGAAACTTTGCATCGGGCAGTGAAGGTGATCTTTACTCCGAGACTGCTCCTTCTGAAGCAGTCAGGGTCGGATTGACGATGACCCGGAAGCGCAAGTGGGCAGTGGGGTTGATTGACATCATGCAAGCTTTTCTTCGAACACCCATGGACCCCAGTGCCGGTGATCCTACCATTATTGTGGCCCCACCGCGTGTCCTAGAGAAGCTGTCGTTGATCACCTTGGGTGAGCTTTGGGGCTTGGTCCGTGCCAGTTACGGGTTGCGACAAGCGCCAGCACTTTGGTCGGCTCATCGAGACAGAGTTTTACGACAGATGGTTTTCCCAGGACAGCTTTGTTTACGCCAGGGCAAGACCATAACAGCATGGTGGGTCCTAAAGAACCAGGCAGGTGTGATTATTGCGCTGATTATCATCTACGTTGACGACATCTTGCTGCTTGGAGAGATCGCTACGATTAAGGGCATTGCCACGACGATCCAAGAGGTGTGGCGTACGTCTGAGCTGGCTATTCTAGCTGGTGCCAATCCATTGCGATTTCTGGGAATGGAGCTGGAGCTCGACGAGGAGTCCGGAGTCATCTATGTGAACCAACGGGGTTACATTGAAGAAGTGCTGAGGGCGCATGGAGTTCCTTTGGAGTCAAGGGACAGAATACCCCTTTCGAAGGACCAGGCATCCTTTGAACCCTTGGATGATGACCTACCTCCAACCCCAGAGGCTGTGACAGAGAGCCAGCGGATTACGGGCGAGCTGATGTGGCTAGCCCAGCGATCAAGGCCTGACCTCAGCTTTACCTGTTCGTTGATGGCATCGATTACACTGAAGGCGCCGGAGCGGTGCTTGCAGATTGGGGCCAAGGTGCTACGCTACCTACAGGGAACCCGGGAGTATCGCATGATGATTGCGAATGACGGAACCAACTTGGTCCTCTACCCGGACGCGGCATTCGCTCCTACGAGTACAAGATCACATACTGGATGGTTAGTGTGCTGGTCAGGCACACCAGTGGGTTGGCGAAGCAGTCGCCAATCAATGGTGTCGCTGAGTACGGCGGAATGCGAGCTACAGGCTATCCTCGATGGGTCGATTGGGATGATCGGCCTGGAGGCTCTACTACACGACCTGGATGTGGAGCCAGGACCGAAGGTCGTGGCGAGTGACAGCACGAGTGCTTTGGCTATTGGCTCGGGCACGGGGTCGTGGCGTACACGCCACTTGAGACTGAAGGCAGCATGGCTTCAAGAAATGGTTTCCAAGGGTGAGATCGTTCCTCGTCATCAACCGGGAGTTTCTCAACCGGCAGACTTGTTGACAAAGGCGTTGAGTGGACAGAGGATCGTGGCACTACTTGATTTGTGGGGTGTCCAAACTGGAAGGAGCACGAGATCCACTACGACGACCTCCACGTTGGCTACACGGGTTCTTGTTGCTACGATTTGCTGCATAATGATGTTGGCGGTTGAAGCAGATGATCCCCAGAAGGAGGGCATTCGGGTTGACTACGACATGGCGGGCATCTTCATGGCGTTGCTAATGGTCCTTGGCGCTTTGGTTCTATGGGAAACAGTGAAATGGGGAGCCCTGGAACTCTATCGTGAGTGGACTCCTGGAGCTTCACAACGAAAACTCAAGAGGCTCAGGCGACTACGAGAGGCAACTACGCAGGCCATAGAACGGGAGTTGGAAAGGTTGTCCGAGGAAGACAGAAGGAGGCCGATGGTGGGAACAACCCATCCTGATGGAACTCCTTCGAGAAGCTCGACGAGACAGAGTTCATCTACGGCGCCTGTGTTAACCCCGGAACCACCTCGGGAAGTGCAGCGACAGGAGACAACACCCATAAGGTTTCGGCCAACTACCCCCATGTCGTCGCCGTCTACTACGAGTCAACCAGAAGAACCTGAAGATGAGGTACAGAGGGTCAGCCGTGATGTGCTGATGTTAATGAGCTGTGAGTCCCTCAAGGAGGGCTTACGCCTACATGGGTGCCAGGTGAGTGGCCTCAAGGAGGACTTGGCATCAAGGCTGGGTAGGGTGTTGGCACAAAATGTCATCATCAACCGCTCGCCCACTGTCAAGCAGCTCCGATACCTCTTGTATCTTTGGCGACATCGTGATTTAAGTGGAAAAGTGATCCTTACTTGGGCTAGCTTGGAGAACAAGCAAGCTGCTTCGAGGACAATAGTACACTGGCAGAATCGATGAGATTACTGCGAACCCTTCCGGATCCGCAGAGGAGGAGTGCAGATGAGCATGTCTTCTGCCAGAGCATGTGCTGAGAGCGCTGTGCAGCTTGAGCGACCATGTTGTACGATGCTCCGTGGCTCAGGGAATGGCTACGAAGTAACCCTTGTGCCACTCTTGATAAGAGGTTCAGCTAGCGAGGCAACAGCCACACAACTGTACAACTTTGATGGCAGACAACTCGCTCAAAGCTTTTTGAACCATTTGCAATTCAGGAATACTTACACAGCTTGATTCGTTCGACCGAGTGAAAATAGTCTTCGCGCCGTGCATTTGTGTTTCATGGTTGCGATTCCAATTCGATAAAGAGCCGGCAGCTCTTGCAGGTTTAGGGACTTAGGGGTTTGGGGTCGGCCTGAATCATTGCCATCATTGTTTCCTGGAGCTCCTTCTTGACAACAGGGGCATCAGGGCAACCCCGAATCATGCATGTCCAGCCTTCTTTGAACCCTTAAACAACCCAAATTGTCTTCTCCTGCGCTGTTCACCTGCTCCACTCTGAGATGTAGGGGGTGTTGCGTCAATCGGAGCTGCTGCTACGCATCTCTAACTTGTCCACCTTGCGGTTGAGGTGGCTTAAAGGGAACTCCAGAAAGTTGGAATATGGTTTCAGGGTAGGATACCCTATAATTTACCACAAAGGGTTCAATTAGGATAATCATATTCCAACTTTCTGGCTTTTACCTTAGATTCGGGTGCGACGGGTCTCAGTGCAAGAGCCAGATTTAAAGCTTCATGATTCCCGAGACCCGTGTTGCCAAAACCTACTTTTTCGTAGGGTCCCGGAAAAATTCCATATTAGGGTGTATAAAAAGAACCTACAAAAAGTAGGGTTTGGTAGTTTAAGGTAAGCTCCAAGAACCCCTAAACCCAGAACGATGCTTCGGTCCACTCGGCCACTTAAGATGTTCGGCACTACTTCAGCCGGCCATGCGGAAGCCAGCAAACTCGGTTTAAGGTTTAGGATTAGGGGTTTAGGGTTTAGGGGTTTGGGGGGTTTAGGGGTTTAGGGTTACACGCATCGGCCTCAGTACGGGTTCAAAAAAGGGGTTTGGGGTTTAGGGCTTAGGGGTTTGGGGTTTGTTGAGGGGTTTAGGTTTTGGGTCTGCCAGTGCTCAAACAGGGTTGCAAACTCTCCGAAGGACTGGGTTCCCACGGTCCAGCTAGTAAGAACGAGGGATTTAGGGTTTAGGGCGTGCTTAATCCTCAAATTCGCAAAGGGACGGATGCGGTTCTTGCCAAGACATCTTCCTGGATATTTATGGTCCCGCCAACACCGTGGTGACACTCCTGGATATTGACAAAGATGCCTACTACGTTAGGGCACCAAAAAAGCACATAAGCAAAAAGAAGGATAGGGATATCCCATCTAAACCCCCTTATAATGAAGCCCAATAAATAAGCTAGGGATGTCCCCATAAAATGCTTATGCTTATGTGCTTTTGGGATCCCTTACACGTGGAGATCAGAGGGGCTGTCGCCAAGAAGAAGTACCGGAAGGCTGCTCCCGAGCATGCAGCTGACACGGCGGAGGGTTTAGGGTTTAGGGTTTAGGGATTAGGGTTTAGGGTTTAGGGATTAGGGTTTAGGGTTTTCGGGTTTAGGGATTAGGGTTTAGGGTTTAGGGCTTAGGGTTATTTGAAGAGCAGGTGCCGGCCTCTTCAGGGCCACATCCGGCAGCTGCATCGATGGGCCGACGACCTTAACACGTCAGCATCGATTCCAGAGGACTTCGCGCTCCAAAACCGGGGCATGGGCAGAGTGCTGTGATGGGAAGACAAGAGCTCTCTGAATGTCCACCCTGACTTCAGGGTGTGCCTTACAGTAAATTGGGAACTAGCTCCCAACAGGGAGGTGAAATTGCGGCATCATGTCGGAGGAGCGCCGAAACCCCGAACCCTAAGCCCTAGCACAATCGATTGGAGGAGCCAGGGTTGACAGGGTGTAGCTTCAGGGACTGACGCAGTAGCGGTGCAGGCCCCGCTTCAATGCCAGCCCTGACGCCCTTGTATTGGAGCATTGCTAGGGTTCAGGGCTTCTTGCGAATGGCCTTTCATAAACCTAGGCCCTAAACCATATACCCTAAGCCATAAACCCTAAATCCTAAACCATAAACCTTGATTGTTTTAATGTAGACAATTCGTGAGCTTCATGGCTGAGAGGCGTTTATCTTGGCTCTTCGGAGGGTTGTCGAAGTGGCAAGTGCTGCTTTCCAAGGTACTTGGAGGTTCAGGGGTAGTTATAAGTAGGGTTATGAGTAGGGTAACTATACTTATAACCCATATCAAAGGACTTACAACCCCACTTATAACTACCCATGAACCTCCAAGTACCCGGATGCAGAGTCTCGGTTGAGGGGGCTAAGGGTTTAGGGTTCAGGGTTCTGGGTCGAACAGAAGGTCTACCTCAAGCTTCTTCAGAAGGGCCCTCTCCTGCAAGAGAGGAGGCGGAAAGGGAAGGGTAACTAGATTTTCCCGCAAGGTAGCAAAGATGATCCGAGAAGAACCCCGAACCCTAAACCCGACTTTGTACATCCCCAAAGTCAGACCTCACGAGCGGGCATAGACTCCATAGCAATGCGAGAGGGAAAAAAACCAAACACCCTAAACGAGAACTCGCCAACTTCCCTTTGGAAGCGGGGTCTTCCTCAAACCAAACCGAGCTCCAGCATACTCCCTGGCCCTATTCGAGATTCTGTTGTCGCTCTTCGGGCCCAGTCCAACATATGTCAACCCTCTTTTCGGGCTTTTTTCATGATTAGGTTATTGTCGATTTCCCTCCGGAGGGTTGTGCATGAAGGTTCTACTACTACAGCTTGATCAGCACCGCCGTCCGGCTCTTGATTCTCAACCATCTTCTGGCACTTGGGCATGATATTCAGAAGCCTGGAGGTCTTCGAGCATAAATGCAGCTCGTGCCATTTTAAGTTTAGGGTTTTGATAGCGCGGAGTTTGGGTTCAAAAACGGGTTTGGGATTGGGGACTAAAGCAAACAGCTACAGCCCTGCGTATTTCTGGAAAGCGTTTGGCCAATTATCTCGCAATCTCGTCCTTGCTTCGCCAGTTGGCACGGATATACGACAGCGTACGCCTTAAACTCCACTGACACTCGTCTCGTCTAGGCAAGGTTTGAGGGGCTTTGGGTTCCCAGAAGCATGTAAAAAACAGAATACAGCATGCAGCATACTGTATCAGAATGTGACAGAATGTACCATGATCGAAGGTAAGAGAGGTAACATGAGACAGTACAATATCAGATAAGACAAGATAAGGCAGTCGTGGGGTATAATACAACACAACCTAACATATTTTATTCTAGGCAAGTCTTTTATCGTATATGGCAGCAAATCATTGTGTACTAGGCCCGAAGCACATGCCGAAGATTCGCTCCAGGCCTGTTGCTGGTGGGGCATTGCCCTTCTGGCAGAAGAGACCCTGGGGCTTAATGGCCGAGGGAGGGTCTTGTTCTCAGGTGCTTAGGATTGTGTTAAGGCCTCTTTAGCTGCAGCATGCAAGACTTCAGGCTTCACATGGTTTGGAGCTTTTCCCTAAACCTTAAACCCTAAACCCTAAACTTTAAGCCCTAAACGGTAGGGTCAAGGCATGATGGCCGGCACTGAGTGTTAGGGCGATGACGGCGATACTCCTGGTGTGGTTTTACTTTCGCTTTCGCTTTCTAGTGCTGCGGCCGTTGAGGATGGGGATGTGGAGAGAGATGGCCTTGACGATCATGAGACTAAAACGGGCAGGGTCAGCACATAGCCCGTATGAGTGCCATGGCGATTGTCAAAATAAGTCGAAATAACCTATCATGATTTCTGCACCGGATCCGCTCGCTCGCAATTATCAAGGCGGCACCCTGCTTGCAGACTCCCTCAACCCTGCATCTACAACATACATACCCGAACCTCAGCCCACCTTACTTGAGGAGTTGTCCTTCCTCCGGCGCCTCCCAAAAGCTCCCTAAGCCCTTAGCCTTTAGGCTAGACCGAGGAACTGGGCTCGAGCTTTTGGCATCTGGGAATCTACAGACTCTCGGCTGCAAGGGTTTCGTTTTAGACTTCGGGCTGTGGGTCGTGCCGTGCCTTCCTGGGGGCATGAAGGTCTTCTTGTTTACGCTCCATTCTTTTGAGGGTGTACGGTTTCGGGCTTCGGGTTTGTGTAAACGGGTTTTTTGCACAAAGTCCAGCCGAATCCAGAACGGATGAAAAAGGGTCGCCGAATTCAATGCAGCCTCACATGAAGCCCCAAGCCTCAAAGCCGAAGTGTCAAGAACCCGAAACCTTAAACCCGAAAGCCCGAAAACCCGAAGCCCTAAACCCCAAACTGTGCGCTTCCACATCCGTCAGCGTGATTGTGCCGCCCAAAAAAAACCTTAAACTGAGGTCATGGACAAGTATCTGGCAAGCTTGAACTGGGCCTTTGCGATGCTGGGCGTGGGGCTGAGCAGCCTCTCTGGCGGCACTTATCAGGAATCTGGTAGGGCTTGGCGTTTAGGGTGTGTGGGGGTCGGAAGAATGAATGTACCCCAAAACCCTATTCTATTGAGAAGGGCTTGGAAAAACAACGTCATTTCCAATGACAGTAACATATCCGGAGCCTTGGGTGTCAAGGCACAAACTTCCGAAGTCTACAGGCTAAGCTCCAAAGCCTAATGTAGGAACCTGATTAAGAAACCTTGGGCCTTTGTAAGTGTTCCTTATATGAATCCTACTATGTTGGGGTTATAGGCCCAGGGTTTTTAAATCAGGTTCGTACACTAAACCCTGACTTTACGGCCATTCAACCAAACAATTCCCCTAAATCCTTGACCCTAAACCCTGAACCCAAAACCCTAAACCCCAAAACCCTAAACCCGAATTCCTTGACCAAACCGCACCGGTCGGTCCTCGGCATGGCCGAAACTCGCGGCATCCTGCGAAAGCAGCCGGGTTTCTGCAAGGGATGGTAAAAAATAGCGCCCTAAATAATTACCAACACTCTTTCGGGGGTTCCTTATTATGATTACAGTAGAATGGGCCCCAAAACCCTATTCTAATCATTAAGGCCCTACTGCAGCGCTCAGGGCTTAGGGTGTATAGGCTTCAGGGTGGAGGGTTCAGTAGCAAGGAGCGGCGTAGGGTTTAGAACCTCTGCGTGAGCCCTGAAAGGGGTTTGAGGTTAGGGTTTAGGGTTGGGGCATAGGATGGGAAAGACCGCGGCCGAGGCTATCAGTGTTTGCACGCCGTGACTTCAATCCGGAAGCACGAGTTAAAGTTAAAGTAACGCAAGCCCCTATGTTCAATACGCCCGCATTTTGCGGAGATGCCTTTTGCTTTTGGGTCAATTTCGCGCTATGCAGCCCCGTAGCAGCAGATGTTCTGAAACAGCAGATGCCCCTGTGGCATGCTAAGGCCGATGTGCGATGCAAAGCAGCAAAGCTCCGAATAGTCAGTACTGCCAAGCCCTACTCCTGAAACCCGAACGTCCGTAAGGTCTACAGAAGTAAGCCTTGAAGCGGAGTTGACCCGATTCCTTCCAGGCAGGGGCAAGACTACCAGGCCAGAAGCCAAAACAAGCTCAACTCGCAAGCCTTTCGAAGCAGGGATGCAGCCTTAAACCCTAAAACTGCTGGTACCCCAAACCCTAAACCTGCAGGTTTCAGTGTTGAGAGATCTCTCAAGCCGGCCTGGGCCACAGCTGAGGCATCAAAACCACGAACACCGTAGAAGTGGCTTTCTCGGCAGCTTGGAAAACCGGTTTGGATCCGACTAGCAGTGTAGGGTTCAGGAGTTGAGGGTTTTGGGTATAGGGGCCCTAAACCCTAAACGGGCTTGAGCTTGGGTACTCTAGAGCAGAGTTCTTGCTTCCGCACTTTTGTGGTTTGAGATTCGCCTTCTCAGTTTCAGGCTCCTATATTACATCGGGACTTTGCCTGGCCATGTTGGGCACGCAATGATAGTCGTAGTGGTGACGAACGATGGTTGCGCAAGCAAAATGCGAGAGAGAGAGAGAGAGAGAGAGAGAGAGAGAGAGAGAGAGAGAGCGAGAAAAGAAAAACTGGAGGGAAAGACGGACGGAGAGAGCGCGAGAGGGAGAGGGAGAGCGAGAGCAACACATTCAGGACACTTCCTGGGTGGTTCTGGCTTCATCCCCCAATGATTATCCAAGGCGGTGCGGGCGGGCGTGAAACAGGTTCGAAATCTCGAGCCACAGCAGATGCGATTTACTTGCACCCGCTCGAACTCCCGCTAAGGTTTTGGTCGCATTTCGATCTCTTATGACCTATGCCACCCTCATCTCCTCCATCACCACCGCGACCGGGCTGCACTCGGACATGGAAAGTCCTCTTCTCTGGGTAGGGGTTTAGGGTTTCAGGCGGAAAAGGACTCTCAGCTCTAGTAAGTCTAAATCCTAAACACTGACCACAAGACCCCAATCCCTAAAGTCAGTCGTACCAGGAACCTCGCCAGGCAAGTCCCAGTGGGAGTGCTGAAAGGAGGCGTATTTATTTTGGGTTTTTTTTTTTTTTTTTTGATTTTTTTTTTTGGCTTGTGTGCGCGCTTGGCTTGGCTTCTCGGCTTCCCTGGCTTCTTGGCTTCTGGCTTCTTGGCTTTTCGGCTTCTTGGCTTTTTTCTTCGGCATAGAGAGCCTCATAAATCAGTCCTTAAGTCACGCCCTCAACCCTAAGCCGAGCCGAGGCGAATTTAGGTCAGTAAAGCGGGATAGGGGTTAAAAAAAATTAAATAAGGATCAAAAAAAATTAAATAAGGATTAAAAAAAATTAAATTATTAAATAAGGATAAAAAAAATTAAACAGGTATCCGCGAAAGGAAGGGGAAAAAGGAACGAAAGACAGAGAGAGAGAGAGAGAAGGAAAGAAAGAAAGAACGAAAGAAAGAAAGGAAGAAAGAAAGCAAGGAAGAAAGAAAGAAAGAACGACAGAAATAAATAAAGAAACAACGAAAGAAAGAAAGAACAAAAGAAAGAACGAAAGAAACAACGAAAGAAAGAAAGAAAGCCATGCAAGAAACAGAGAAATAAGTAAATAAAGAAAGCTACAAGGAAAGAAAAAAGAAAACACAAGGAAAGAACCAAAGAGAGTTGACAACTTAGAGAAATACCACGGAATCCGTAGGAAAATCGTGTTTTCCCCAGGAAAAACCAAGCAAATCCTTAGGAAACGAAAGAAAATCCCTAGGAAAGCAGTGTTTCCCCTTGGAAAAATTCAAGAATAGCTGTATCTAAAAAGCAAGAAAGAAAGACAGAAAGAAAGAAAAAACGAGAGAGAGAACGAAAGAACGAAAGCAAAAACAAGAGGAAGAACGAAAGCAAGAACTAAAGAAAGAAACTTAAGGAAATACCACGGAATCCGTAGGAAAATCGTGTTTCCCCGAACCAAAAACCAAGCAAATCCTCAGGAAATGAAAACGAATCCGTATGAAAACAGTGTTTCCCCTGGGAAAAATTCAAAAATTGCTGTATCTAAAGAGGACGAAAACAAGGAAAACAGAAAGAAAGAAAGATAGAACGAGAGAGAGAACGAAAGAACGAAAGCAAAAACGAAAGAAAGAACGAAAGCAAGAACGAAAGAAAGAACGAACCAAAGAAAGAACGAAATAAATCAAACCAGAAAGGAAAGCAAGAAAGAAAGGAAGGGAGTATGAGATGAACAAAGAAAGAACAACAGAAAGAAAGAAAATAAATGAACGAGCGAAAGAAAGAAAGAAGTCCATAATAAAAAAGCAAAGTTGGAAAATACGAAAGAGAAAGAATATGAAAAAATCACAAAACAAAGATACAAGCAACAGGATACTACATAGCCCACTCGAATTTACCATAATATCGTAATGTACCGTAACAGAATATAACATAATGTAAATGTAACCTATAAAATATGCTACATATTATGTTGTAAATATACACACTGTACTGTACTATGTTACAATGTACTACACTATAAACTAAGATGTTGTTTTGTTCTATGTCATCTTCTGTTATATTGTATTGTTTTTTAGTATGCTATTATATGCTATAAGAAGCAAGGTTCTGTTATGTCAGAAAATGTCACACCATTTTTGTGTTGTCGAACCATCTTATGTCGTTCTTCTGGTTTACTATGTTATATATATTAGGTTAGAATGCTAGCGGAAGAAGAGACACGAACAGGCACGGAAGAACAAAACACCCGCCGCCGCGCTTTTCGAGACGTGCAAGCTTGATTCAAAGAGTGTTTTCGGCCCATCATGTGAACGTTGTCTCTGCAAATGGGGGGGGCTGCGCCCCCCCCCAACCCCCCCGCTGTTTTAAGCCGTGCAGGGTTGCTTTGATTCTCCCTGGCTTCTTGGCTTCTGGCTTCTTGGCTTTTCGGCTTCTTGGCTTTTTTCTTCGGCATAGAGAGCCTCATAAATCAGTCCTTAAGTCACGCCCTCAACCCTAAGCCGAGCCGAGGCGAATTTAGGTCAGTAAAGCGGGATAGGGGTTAAAAAAAATTAAATAAGGATCAAAAAAAAATTAAATAAGGATCAACAAAAATTAAATAAGGATTAAAAAAAATTAAATTATTAAATAAGGATAAAAAAAAATTAAACGGGTATCCGCGAAAGGAAGGGGAAAAAGGAACGAAAGACAGAGAGAGAGAGAGAAGGAAAGAAAGAAAGAACGAAAGAAAGAAAGGAAGAAAGAAAGCAAGGAAGAAAGAAAGAAAGAACGAAAGAAAGAACGAAATAAAGAAATAAAGAAACAACGAAAGAAAGAAAGAACAAAAGAAAGAAAGAAAGAAACAACGAAAGAAAGAAAGAAAGCCATGCAAGAAACAGAGAAATAAGTAAATAAAGAAAGCTATAAGTAAAGAAAGAAAACAAAAATAGAGAACTAAGTAAAGAAAGAAAGCTACAAGGAAAGAAAAAAGAAAACACAAGGAAAGAACCAAAGAGAGTTGACAACTTAGAGAAATACCACGGAATCCGTAGGAAAATCGTGTTTTCCCCAGGAAAAACCAAGCAAATCCTTAGGAAACGAAAGAAAATCCCTAGGAAAGCAGTGTTTTCCCTTGGAAAAAATCAAGAATTGCTGTATCTAAAAAGCAAGAAAGAAAGACAGAAAGAAAGAAAAAGCGAGAGAGAGAACGAAAGAACGAAAGCAAAAACAAGAGGAAGAACGAAAGCAAGAACTAAAGAAAGAAACTTAAGGAAATACCACGGAATCCGTAGGAAAATCGTGTTTTCCCGAACCAAAAACCAAGCAAATCCTCAGGAAATGAAAACGAATCCGTATGAAAACAGTGTTTCCCCTGGGAAAAATTCAAAAATTGCTGTATCTAAAGAGGACGAAAACAAGGAAAACGAAAGAAAGAAAGATAGAACGAGAGAGAGAACGAAAGAACGAAAGCAAAAACGAAAGAAAGAACGAAAGCAAGAACGAAAGAAAGAACGAACCAAAGAAAGAACGAAATAAATCAAACCAGAAAGGAAAGCAAGAAAGAAAGGAAGGGAGTATGAGATGAACAAAGAAAGAACAACAGACAGAAAGAAAAGAAATGAACGAGCGAAAGAAAGAAAGAAGTCCATAATAAAAAAGCAAAGTTGGAAAACTAGAAGACAATTGGCCCGAAAGCATCATCAGCGAAGAGTGTTGCGCTACGTCATAGAATCCAGTGTATAGGGTCATGGAGTCACCGAGTCAAAAGCACGGAGTCACAGAGTCGGAGTGTCACATACAGTCAAGAGTCGTACAAGTCATAGTTCATAGGGTCATCGAGAAATAAAGTCGAGTACATGTCAAGCACAAGTCATAGTTCAAAGAGTCATAGAGTCATATAGAGTCATAGAGTCACAGTGAGACAGAATCATAGAGTCATAGAGTCATGGAGTCATCTATGTACCACGCACTTGACTTGATGTAGTTCACTCTATGAACACTAATGTTCAGGTTTAGCGGGTTTAGGGTATAGTCCAACATGACGCAGAAGTCTTCCTTTCCTAGCTCCGGAACCTCACTATATAGACATCCCTGATTACTACTGCTACTACTACCACTACTACAAAAGAATACTACTACTACTACTACTACCACTACTACTACCACTACTACTGCTACTGCTACTACTGCCACTACTACTACTACTTTATTACTACTACTACTACTACTACTACTACTACTAGTACCACAACAACAACTACAACTACCACTACTACTACTACTACTACTACTACTACTACTACTACGACTACCGCTGCGACTATGCGACGACGACTACTACTACAACTACTACGACTGCCACTGTGGTTTCAACGTGACTCTATGACTCTATGCATGGTCACTTTATGTCGCAGCAGTAGTAGTAGTAGTAGTAGTAGTACTAGTAGTACTAGCAGTACCAGTACTAGTAGTAGTGATAGTAGTAGTAGTAATAATAGTTGTAGTACTGGTAGTGGTAGTAGTAGTACTAGTACTAGTTCGAACACTCGACAACGCCAATCTCTGTGAAGGGTTGCAAGTTTCACCTCAATGCACATCAAAAGTAATAATTTTACCTCGCGTTCGAACACTCGACAACGCCAATCTGTGTGAAGGGTTGCAAAATTCATGTCAATGCACATCAAAAATTGCAACTTTACCTCGCGTTCGAACACTCGACCACGCCAATCCCTGTGAAGGGTTGCAAAATTCATCTCAATGCACATCAAAAAATGCAACTTTGCCTCGCGTTCGAACACTCGACCACGCCAATCCCTGTGAAGGGTTGCAAAATTCATCTCAATGCACATAAAAAATTGCAACTTTACCTCGCGTTCGAACACTCGACCACGCCAATCCCTGTGAAGGGTTGCAAAATTCATTTCAATGCACATCAAAAAATGCAACTTTACCTAGCGTTCGTGCATTCGACCATGCCAATCCCTGTGAAGGGTTGCAAAATGCCAATCCCTGTGAAGGGTTGCAAAATGCAGCTCAATGCACCCAAACCCTGTGAAGGGTTGCGCGGCGCCCGCAAAATGTGTAACTTTACCTCGCGTTTGAACGCCCGAGGATGCTGCCCTGCAAGGCAATGCAACACGGCCAAGCAAACCACAAAAAAAAAAAATCACCAAAAAAAAAAAAATTCCCAAACTAATTCCAGACCCGTGCTGAAACCGCCCAAACCCAGGGAATTCGCACCTTGGGGGCTGGAAATGCACTCGGATACTGGGATATGGTCTGCAGGTTTGGGCTTAAGGTTTAGGCTTCAGGACCGGCTTGGGATTCGGGTGGAGTTATGGTTCGGGGTCTAGGTTCAGACAGTGTGGGGATTACCGGGCGGTGGTAAAGGCCCGATGCAAAAAGGTTCAGACAGTGTGGCCGCGTCAGGATGTTCGGAGCACAGCACTGTCACCAATGAATATGCCACTTGTAACTGCTAGCAGCAGCCTCTTCAAGCTCATGAAGTTGTGCCTGGCTGATTGGCGGGCATGGACACTCACGGGAATCAGAGGGTCAGCAGATGCCTTTGGTGCCACTGTGAGCAGCCACATGGGCTTTCCTTGGCATGCAAGGCACATAATGGGGGCTTGAGTTTGAAAACCGACTAGTCTGAACGCACGGACAGCAATGTTCGCGGCTTTCTTTCGATGGAGCATGTACTTGTTATCTCACTTCTATTGGTGTGTTCTGATCGTTCTGTGAGCACTCTTGATCAAGATGTTGAAAGCCTCCCCTAAATTCTAAACCAAAACGCCCTAAACTCCAACGCCCCAGGTTCAGTCGGAGAAGTGGGGAAGCTCCCCACTCCGGTACACCCTAAAGCAGATCTGAAGACAGGTTTACCCTTGCGGGATGTATGTGTTCGTATGCTGATCCTTAGCGGGGCGGTTGAGTAGCTTTTCACGTGCTGCTTCATGGTGGAAGACGACGATTTTTTACAGCTCTGCCCAAACAAGCCTCAAACCCCAAACGGAAAACCCTCCGGCCCAACAGCCAAAAACCCTAAACCACCTACAGCAGGCTTGTCCGAGAGTGAGTCTCAAAAAGCCCCCCTGAGCCCCGAAAATCTCCTGCTCCAAGAGCCTTGAACCCAGATTCTCAGGTGACCAGCGCTTTGAACAAAATCCGTGAGGACGAGAACTCCGAATTTCGGCTTCTTCGCACCTTGCCAGTGGCTCTTCGGGGCTTTGCTTCAGGGTTCCCCCAGGGGTACGAGAGCGTTTCGGGCTATTGGTTTTGCGGTTGAGGGTCCAGGGCCTGGCCTTTGCATTGAGTTCGGAGCTCGCTTGGGTACTTCCCCACGTGCTGTCTACAACGACAACAACAGCAGCAACATCGGCACCACCACCACCACCAACAACAACAACAACTACAACAATAGCAATTACTACATTTTCAACAATAACTACTACAGGACACCGATGCAGTAGCAGTCGTCTTCGTTGTCGTCGTCAGAGAGGTAGGAGTACTAGAAGTGCGAGTGGAAGTGGCAGTAGGAGTAGGAGTGGGCGTAGCAGGAGTTGTTGTTGTGGTGGTGGTGGGGTTGTAGTGGTGGTGGTGGTCGTCGTAGTAGTAGTAGTAGCAGTAGTAGTCGTAGTCGTAGTAGTGGTGGTGGTAGTAGTAGTAGTAGTAGCAGCAGCAGTAGTAGTCGTGGTTGTGGTGGTGGTGGTAGCAGTACGAGTAGGAGTAGCAGTAGCAGTAGTAGTAGCAGCAGTAGCCGTAGTCAGTAGCAGTGGCAGTGGCAGAAAGCGGTGGTAAGCAGATTAGAAATAATAAAACAGCCGCAACAAGATTGATGATATGATTATGAGTGTAGTTGTAAGTGCTATTACTTGTATCGTTTTCAGCGATCAAAGACAACTGTACAGGATGCAGATGATTCGTTGACGGAGATGGTGATGGCCATAGTGATTAGTAGTAAGACTTCACACCTCATACCGTATAGCATTGAGTGGGGACGTAATGACATTGTGCCGTATTTAGGAATTTTTATCGAGTCATGTCTCCGGTTCTTCTCGTCAGTTCGCGGCTTCATGAATCGATGGGAGTTTGTGCTCTACTTGGAGGTTCATGGGTAGTTATAAGTAGGGTTATAAGTAGGGTAATTATACTTATAGCCCATATTAGGGGACTTATAACCCCACTTATAACTACCCATGAACCTCCAAGTAGCTCGTGAGGCGCGAAGCTTCAAAAGCCCTGGAACGGAGGACAGTCTCGCGACGTCCGCCTCATAACCCTACGCCGCCTAGGTTCCTACTTGGGCCACCACGATGTGAGCCAGGAGCATCAGCGGGCATGCAGCCGGTCTGAATGTAGGGCCTGTAAACGCCCCTAGACCCCAAACAGAACCCCCACCAAGCGGCTTCTATGAAGCAATGTGTTGCGAGTTCCTGTGTCTATTTGAGGACTACGCTCTTGAAGTCCCATAGCTTCGCTCCTAAATCTTTCACCTGAACCCTCAGCCCAAAGCCCCGCCTGCGCGCCCATATCCTCGCCTGGCTTGAAGCCTGCTCCCAGCTCTCCCCCTTCCACCGACTCGGTCTTAGACCCGAGAACCGGTAAGCCCTCCGTTAGGGTCCCGTTTCGGACCTTTTTATCAGGGTGTCGCATCATTCTCGGGACTTTAAAAGGGACCCTACTCTAGAGACTTACTCACATCCTAGTATTCTAAAGTCCCCGAATCCCTGCAGCCCTGAATCCAAGACCGAATGACCGAATGACCCAAGACTTCCCTAAACCCATTGCCCCATGACCTTCAACCCTGAGACCCGATGGCAGCAGGAGCTCGGACAGAAGATAACACGCTTCCTTCAGCACCAGTACCACTTGCGGCAGCAGGCGAGATGCAGTTGCTCTCCGGTTTAAGGGTTGGGGGACCTTACCCCTGTAGTTTCTGACCACTATAATTTAGGGTGGAAGGGTCCCTTGTCTTCTGAAGTCCCAGACGTTGCAGGTTGTAGTGGATCAAGGGCGGTGAGAAGACCCATGAGGCCGACATGGAGTTGGTGAGCGCTTGCTTATCCGTTCACACTAAATATGCCTGAAGCCTAAATCGCTGGTGGATACCTTATGCACCCCTATCTTTCAAGGTTAACCATGGGACCTGTAAGCACCTATAAGACTTGCCTTCTAACTTCCTTTCAAACACAGCCCCACAGACTCGTGTGAGGCTTACCCAGTATTGTTACACCCTCCAAAACCCTCTGGACTCTTCAATTAATACCTTCTAAGGGTTACCTGAAACACCCGCTATCCGGCCATAGAACCCTTGAAGCCTTCAAGGTTAAGCCTGGTGATCTCCAAAACACGTCAAACGCTTGGGAACTTTACAGTTTGAAGCCCGAAACCTTCAGCCGTCACTGAGGTAGTTTCTACCGGTTGCGTGTGTGGACATGCCCTCCCCTCTCACCCCAAATGACGATACAGGATTGGACAGAAAGGCACTTCGCATCCGGAGTCACTAGAGATGCCAGACTCGATCTTGCCTGGACTGTTTGACTGCCAGTGTCAAGAAAGCCTAGCCCCACAGCCCTGAACTATAAGACGCCAAAGCCTAACTTTAAAACCCTGAACCCTCAACCCTGACCCTGCCCATTTTGTACACGCATGCGCGTTGAAACAGGAACTTAAATGGGGTCTTCAAAATTAGGGTTCCTTTTTGGGTCCCCAGTATAGTACGGCACCCAAAATCTAGGGTACCCAGAAAGGGACCTTAATTTTGACAGCCACCCAAATGTCTTCGGGCGAAGCAGCAGGCGAGATCTGCCCACATCAACGTACCTTTGCTGGAGCTGCTCTCTCCAAGCCCCCTTGGCCCAATCTGGGAGTTTCCGAACATAGGGGACCCTAATATAGTACCCTAAATAGTAGGATCCTTATTATAAGGACCCCCAAATAAGGTTTTCCTAATTTTCAGAAACTCCCATCTGCCAGATTTAGTGATGGGGTCTAAAGGTGTAAGAAGAGTTCTAGAACAGGACTTTGGGGGGTCTCTATGGGTGTTTGTGCCAAGTTATGGAGCTGTCTAGTGGAATGTAGGTACGGTCTAAGGTTGTGGAAGTTAGGCTGTCGGGGTGATCGGCTCGTGGGATTGGGTTTGTGGATATGAGGGCTTGAAGTTTCGGGATGTAGGGTTCTGAACTTGCCTTAAACCCTAAACCCGTGGAGTCAGAGATTGGGGGTTTCGGGGTGTTTGACTCCTGGGCTGATAATTTTAGGGATTTGCTGCATGGTGGCTTTAGACTTACGGAGCTTTCGACTTAGGCTTAGCTTTTTCCATGTTTCGCATTTCTAGTACTAGCAGACCATTCGCTACTCCTTGCGCCCTGCCATGAAGAGGTTTTCTCCGGTTGATTGTCCTACACGTCTGATCGGAGTTATTTGGAGCGGGTGTGGGGGATGGGGTCAGGGGGTGACTCGGGGTGATGACGTCCGAGTACGCGACGATGATGATTTGATGATGATGACGATGATGCTGTTGCTGTTGTTGCTGCTGCCAGTGCCGGTCGTGGTGGTATCGGTGGTGGTTGTGGTGGTCGTCGTGGTGGCGCTGTGAGTACTTCTGGTTTGCTGGCACTTCGTCCCACGTTGTTTGCGGCTACGTCCGGAACTTTACAGCCGCCAGAGTTGGCTTTCAGCGACCATGTAGTGCAGAAGAAGACGAGGATAGGCTGCAAACTACAAGGCTCTCGTCGGGAGAAAGGAGGCTCTAGGAGGCTCTGGGTCCCAGGAAGATACACTCTTGCAGTCCGGACGCCTGAGCCCTTCATCGGCGCTGAAGGCTTGCGTGGTGAGCTGGAGATGGCAAAGTACGAGAAGGCAACTCGGGTTCGCATTGATGCTGTGCTATGGGGTTCCCAAAGCCCGAACCTAATACTAGTAGTGAGTCCACACGGTTGATGATAAGAATCTTGTATTCCCTTAATGACCCCAGACTATGGGACTTATGTTATGTTCCTTACTATGGGTTTTTGCAGGATTGATGTCATCAGCCGTAGTATGGAGGCCGGGGTCGTTCTTCCTGAAGAAGCCCAAGTCCCTCATCTGACAATTAATGCCACCATGTACGGTTTAAGGTTTAGGGTTTTGGGGTTTAGGGTTGGCTTTTCGATGTCCATCCTAAGGATTGACACGTGTCGTTTCAAACTTTCACATAGTTCTTGTGTATGATGCTGTTGAGAGTGGTCGCATGCAAGGCATTATGTCTTGTGTGTTTCCTCTTTCTTCAGGGTACCCGGCAGTCGCAATAGGCCTGGATGCAAAAAGGGTTTAGGATTTAGGGGCCCATGCCGCTCTTGTAAAGCCCAGTTCAATCCTACAGCAAAACCGTTTCTAGTCGAGGCTTTGGAGATTTTGTGGGTCCAGGCGGTTTAGGGTTTTGGGCCGGGAGAAGCTTCTGCTTCAGGGTTACGGGCTTCGGGGCTCGGACTCCGATGGCAAGACCTTTGAGAGAATTCATCCTGCTTTGGGCTTACGGTTTGCTGCAACCCTCAACCCCAACCCCCCCCCCCCCCCACACTTGAGCAGGAGAAATCCAGCACGTGCGACCCAGGCTATCTTGTCATCAGTGGCATTACTAGTTTCACGAAGCCCTAACCCCTTAAACCCTAAACCCTAAACCCTAAACCATGGCCCTGAACCCACTATACAGCCTTGAGCAGCCCTGAACCGTGGAGCCTACGTTCGAAACATTGAATAAACGCAAAGCCCAACACCGGAAAGCACCCTTCCAAATGAGAATAAACACACACATGTGCATATATATATATATGTACAAAAGTATATATGTATTTATGTATTTATGTATATATGTATATATGTATATATGTATATATGTATGTATGTATGTAGGTAGGTATGTATGTATGTGTGTATGTGTGTTGGTATGTATGTTTAACCATCACTAGCTACGCGTAGTGTTCGCTGTCATTACTTCTAACATTAAGCAGCTCGTGCAAGGCGATGCGCAAGTTGCCCTTCCTGAGCCAGCTCTTGCTGACTGACGACTTGGCAGTCTTGCAGGTTGGACCTGCCTGTTTAGTGTTCAGGGTCTTGAGGATTGGGCAGCTGAAGGGTCAGGGCCTGTTGGCTGCAGCCCCTGCTCAAAAAACTGTGTCTAGGGTTCAGGGTGGGGAGGAGGCTCGTGGGGCTTGACGGGCGACTGAGTGCCCTGGAGAGAAGAAGAGCGAGGGAGGGAGGGAGAGAGAGAGAGAGAGAGAGAGAGAGAGAGAGAGAGAGAAGGAGAGAGAGTGAGAAGAAGAGAGAGAAAGAGACAGAGAGAGGGAGGGTTTAGGGTTTAAGTTTAGGGTTCAGGGTTTAGTAATAGAGCAACAGATCGGAGGGTCATATTCATGCAAAGGGTTTGGGGCTTGGGGTTTAGGGTTTTGAGGGGGCTTTATGTGGTGTGTAAGCCGCTTAGGCCTCATGATGACAGGGCTGGGGTGGGGGTGGCCTTTTAACGGGTTTGTTGCCGGGAGAATGTTTAGTATTACACTTGGGTTTGTAGGACGGCTTTCCGCTTAAGCGTTTTGAATTTATCTTGCTTGCAGGGTTCCGGGTGTGCTTGGGTCTTGGCTTTGGTTCGCTCTCGTTTTTTGGATGGTTTCAGTGTTACAGGACCTGTATGTTTAAAGTTTGGTGATGGTGTTGATGGCGGGCCCTACATGGCTGTGCGTCTTACGGTGAAACAAGGGGTTCCTGCACTAACTCCGGCAGAAGCGCCTTCGAGGAAGTTAAGGTGAAGTCCCTTCGTGTGCTCCCCGAAGCGCGTGGAGCTTAATGCTGTTGTTTACCGGAGTTGCGGGCACCACAAGAGGAAAGGCAAAAGCACTCGATAAGCCTGTCATGTGGATTCGAGGAATGCTTGTGACTTTTGGGGTAGTATAACAAACTCTTTTGTGAAAATCCCAAAGCCGGAGAGAGGTCGTTCAAACCCTCGCCGTGCATGCCATCCAAGATGTTGCAGCTGCCAGCAGCCTGTCTGGGCTTAGGGTTTCCAGTTCAGCGTTGTCATCGGGGTTTCATATAGGATCTTGCAGGGCTCTCTAGAGTCTAGAGTCTAGGGTTCGAGGTTTCGTTTATGACATTCTCACTTGTCGTTACAGCTGTGACGGCGCAGACGGCTCCACCCAGCCGTAGAGGGCGACCTCACGTGTGCCAGTGCTTTTAACAAGCAGGGCGTAGGGATGCTGTCAAACTGTTCTCCACGGTGGCGAGGCAGTCTTAGTGCAGCAGACGGGCCTGAAGGAGGCATGGCAGTAGTAACATGCATCGGAGGTGATTGACAGTAGTACTGTAGTGCCTGCTGTGCTAGTAGTACTCACCACAGCAGCACTTGCAATGGAGAAAGCGGGCACTCCACGACAGCAGTCAAGCTCGTTATGTTTGTAACTGTAGCGAAGTGACAACGGGCGCGGTAGTGGTGCTCGTTTAGGCACCTGAGTTACATTGGTATTAGTATTAGCTACTAGTTTATCAGTCGCCTCTTTTTTGAGTTCGAAGGCACACCGCTACCAACAACTTTCAACCCATGTATCAGGTTGACGGAGGTTCTGGCTAGAGATGCTGGCCTCAGCCACAACATGAAGCAAATCGACTGCCACAGCAGCAACAATAGCCACGGCGTGGTGAGCTGGGCAGGCTCGGCTCGATCGGAATGCGAACAAGAGGGAAAGCAGTGGGGGAGCAACAGTCATAGTGGTGACAGCATGCCTGGCGATAGCAGCAGCATCGGCATCATCATGCTTGTTTCGAAGGCTGAGCTGTGGACTGTCGGGCATTTCATCAGCATTAGCTGCAAGGTATTGGCACGACTGGCTGATAGCCGGGCAGCTGTAGCACTGAAAGTTCTACCCATTCAGCAGCAAACAGGGTCCGGATAGCAGTCTTACGCATAAACCTGCCGGATTGACAGCAACAAGTAGGAACAGTGACACTCAGGGTTTGTGCAATCGCCACAAAGCTTGGACATCCCAGGCAAGGACGTGATTTTCTTGGCGGGCAACAAGGCCTCGGCTTGACTTGTCTACGTGTGTGGGGAAGTTTCGGTTGTTGTGGGATTACAATGTGGCTTTCGGGTTGTGTGGATCTAGGACTCAGGGCTTTCGGGGTGTAGGGTTTGAGAGATTCTTGTGTTTGAGGATGAAGTTGGGGGGGTTGAGACGGTCCGCCGCCAAGCCCCGGGTGCTTCCTAATCCGAATTCCGCCCGCCTTCGGTCCCTAAGCAGCAACTCCTAGTAACAGTTGTTGAGCAAGTAGCCCTAAACTAAGCCCTAAACCCTAAAGCACTAAAGCACTAAAGAGTTAGGAGCTGATCAGCCTCGTGATAGAAGGAACCTCGCAGAGTGGTCCCTATTGTAGCATTATTAGTACTAAGAGTATAATGATGTGTGCAGCGAAGAGGGCTGAGACGCCGAACACAAAGGCAGCCACCTGCAGTCACGAGCACCAAACCTCCAAGCGCCAGCGAATGCATATCCCATACTCCCACATGGAAGCCCAGAAGCGCCAGCTGGCTCGCAGCGGAGCTTCCGCAAAGAGCCCCCAAGCGGCGCAAGAGTTCCACAATGGCAACCCAGTGACCTGAGAAGGCGGAGATTACCCACTGCAAAACTGAAAGTGTACAGTTTTTGGGGCGTATGAACTTATGCCCATGGAACCCGAAATCCGAAAGGTCAATGAACGCGAAGCCGTGAACCTTCAGCTCCCTCTATCAGCACGAGTGCTTCTTCTATATTCTCTCACAAGAGGTTCTCCCGTTTTATAGGATAGCTCCGGGCTCGATTAAGCCGTACTCTAACTAATGTAGGAACCTGATTAAGGAACCCTGGGCCCATAGCCCCAAAATACTAGGATTCATGCAAGGAACCCCGAATAAAGGCCCAAGGGTTCTTAATCAGATTCCTGCATCATGAAGGCCCCTTATAGTACTGCATGCTTGGGTGCTCTGCCACGGTGCGTCCGACAAGTTCAAAGTACAGCAAAACGCGAAAAGTCCAAAAGTCGAAAAGCCGCGAAAAGTCGAAAAGTACATCAAAACGCGAAAAGTCGAAAAGCCGCGAAAAGTCAAACAGTACAGCAAAAGTCGAAAAGTCACCACAGGAGAATCCGCAAAAACAACAATTGGCACACATCTGAAGCATCTTGGCACAACTTTGGTCTGCAGAGAGCAAAGGTAGATCCAGGATAATGTCAAGGATTTTGGGTGCTGGGGGAAGTGTTCTAAGTGTGCTGGCCTTGGGGCCTATTAAGATCGCAACCTTGTCAAATCAAAGCACCGGAAAGGATGTTCGTCTTCACTACGTGTGCGATGTGTCCATGGCACGGGGAAGTCGATGTGGAAGGTTATACAAGAACACATAAACATTTGCATATGCTATGTGTGAGTAGACAAAACAAAAAATATTGCTATACCTACATGCATATGTATATTCATGTATCTGAAAAACAAATACATACCTAAGAATTTAGTATTCATACATATGCAAAGGTATGTATGTGTATACATATACACACATAAGTACACATATGTTTTCACACATGTACACCAAAATTAAACCCTAAATTCCAAGCCCAGAGAACATACTCATTGACCCGATTTTAACAAACCCCACAAGCTCCTTTCAAAACCCAAGCTCTTTAAAAATCTAGCCCAAGCCTATAACGCCCTGTCAATCGCCAAACGCTGAAGCGGCTGCTTTGCTTAGTGGTGCGCCCAGCTTAACGACTTCGTAGATGGTTGGTAAAACGAGTGAATGCTAAGTGTAGGCATGATTGATCTAAGCGCTTAATGACACCGTGACTGCCACACAGCAGGCCTAACTCCATACGAGCCTTTTGACAGTCAATGCCCCAACGGCAAGGACCGGCATGGACCGGCTGTTTTGCTCAGTGGTGCGTCTGGCTTAGGGCGGCAGAAAAACCCAATGTCGACCAGAGCAGGAAGGCCCGAACGAGCTACAACCACAACTATGACGGACTTTAAGAATGGTCGTGTGACTATCGAGTCAGCTGGTGCCCGATCAAAAACTTGTACAAACGAAAATGAGAAGGCAAGAAAATTATACGTACATGCATATGTATGTACATGTATCTGAATAATCTGAATAAACAAATACATACATAAGAAATTTGTATACATACATATGAGAAGGTATGTATGTATGTATGTATACACACATAAGTACACATATATGTTTATACACATGTACACCACTGTTAAAACCCTAAACTCCAAGCCCGGAGAACATACTCACTGACACGAACAAACCCCATCAGCTCTTTTCAAAACCCAAGCTCTTTAAACATCTAGCCCAAGCCTATAACGCCCTGTCAATCGCTAAACGCTGGAGCGGCTGTTTTGCTTAGTGGTGCGCCTGGCTTAACGACGTCGTCCATGGTTGGTAAAACCGGTGAATGCTAAGTGTAGGCATGATTGATCTAAGCGCTTAATGACACTGTGACTGCCACACAGCAGGCCTAACTCCACACGAGCCTTTTGACAGTCAATGCCCCAACGGCAAGGACCGGCATGGACCGGCTGTTTTGCTCAGTGGTGCGTCTGGCTTAGGGCGGCAGAAAAACCCAATACGGACTTTAAGAATGATCGTGTGACCATCGAGTCAGCTGGTGCCCGATCAAAAACTTGTACAAACGAAAATGAGAAGGCAAGAAATTATACGTACATGCATATGTATGTACATGTATCTGAATAATCTGAATAAACAAATACATACATAAGAAATATGTATACATACATATGAGAAGGTATGTATGTATGTATGTATATACACATAAGTACACATATATGTTTATACACATGTACACCACTGTTAAACCCTAAACTCCAAGCCCGGAGAACATACTCACTGACACGAACAAACCCCATCAGCTCTTTTCAAAACCCAAGCTCTTTAAACATCTAGCCCAAGCCTATAACGCCCTGTCAATCGCTAAACGCTGAAGCGGCTGTTTTGCTTAGTGGTGCGCCCGGCTTAACGACGTCGTCCATGGTTGGTAAAACCGGTGAATGCTAAGTGTAGGCATGATTGATCTAAGCGCTTAATGACACTGTGACTGCCACACAGCAGGCCTAACTCCACACGAGCCTTTTGACAGTCAATGCCCCAACGGCAAGGACCGGCATGGACCGGCTGTTTTGCTCAGTGGTGCGTCTGGCTTAGGGCGGCAGAAAAACCCAATACGGACTTTAAGAATGATCGTGTGACCATCGAGTCAGCTGGTGCCCGATCAAAAACTTGTACAAACGAAAATGAGAAGGCAAGAAAATTATACGTACATGCATATGTATGTACATGTATCTGAATAATCTGAATAAACAAATACATACATAAGAAATATGTATACATACATATGAGAAGGTATGTATGTATGTATGTATATACACATAAGTACACATATATGTTTATACACATGTACACCACTGTTAAAACCCTAAACTCCAAGCCCGGAGAGCATACTCACTGACACGAACAAACCCCATCAGCTCTTTTCAAAACCCAAGCTCTTTAAACATCTAGCCCAAGCCTATAACGCCCTGTCAATCGCTAAACGCTGAAGTCCTAAAACGCGAAAACCCCGCAAGGAACAGCCGACTCCCCCAAAAGTCGCAAAAATCGAGAAGCAGCGAAAAGCTGCAAAGTACAGCAAAAAGTGAAAAGTCGAAAAGCCGCGAACAGTCGAAAAGTACAGCACAACGAGACAAGTCGAAAAGCCGAAAAGCCGCGAAAAGTCAAAAAGTACAGCAATGCGACAGCAATGCGCGAAAAGTTGAAAAGCAACGAAATGCCGAAAAGCAGCGAAAAGTCGAAAAGTACAGCAAACCGCGGAAAGTCGAAACGCAGAGAAGTTACAATTTACGCGACAAACGCGAACAGTCGAAAAGCAGCGAAAAGTCGAAAAGTACAGCAAAACGCGAAAAGTCGAAAAGCCGCGAAAAGTCGAAAAGTACAGCCAAACGCGAAAAGTCGAAAAGCCGCGAAAAGTCGAACAGTGCAACAGAAACGCGAAAAGTCAAAAACTTTTCGACTTTTTGACTTTTTGACTTTTCGAATTTCGTTTCGATTCTCCGCTTACGGAAGCCAACGCCTGCTTGCGTACTTAGCCATCCAGAAACTCCCAACCAGACCAACAGCCAGGACGACGAGGCATAAGTTTTTCAATTTAGGGTTTATGACCCAGGATTCCTCTTACAACGCCAGGTGCGTTGCTGAATTAAGTGGCTCTGGAGTTTCTGGGCACCCTAAACTCCCAAAGCCCGACACCCCCTCCCAAAAAACGTCCGGAGCGAGGCAAATGCAGCTTACTTGAAGCTGAATGGGTCGCTCACGTACTTCACCATGGACAGTGAGGCCGGATGGGGACGGGTCGGTTTAAAGGTTCCTGCAAAAGAGTTCTAGGTGGGGAACTACAAGGGTGCTATAAGGGCTCTATGACGCAGGGGGGCCGGAGTAGTTGGACTCGGCCTTTGGGGAAGGGCATGCAAAAACGCCCTTCTCTTGTAGCCTGGGGTGCCGTGGCATGTCTTAATGGGGTCATGGGTGTGTCGGATGTCGGAAACTCCCATAGAAGATTACGAAAGACTTGCATTGTTCGACGAAAAAGGGAAAGGAGGAGATGTTGCAGGTGTGGCTCTGGGTGTGTAAAGTAGGGGCGTGAGTGTAAGTCGTACTACTTGATATCTGCAGGGCTTGTGATAATTATCATATAGTAGTACCCAGAAGCTTTGTTCTAATCACTATGTCCCCTAGAACCCCAAAGATGGGCTCGTTGGTCCCTTGCTTGAGCTTCTCAAGGCGGAAATTATAGAGAACCTCGGCGAGGAGAAGCAGAAGAAAGTTGAGGCAGCTCAGCACGCAAAGGCTTAATGAAGGGTCTTTAACTTTTGAAGTGTGTCGTTAAGGGTTCTCTAAAGTTGTTTTTGCTTGGGTGGTCAAAGCGAGTTGGTTTGGGGAAAAGCAGTACAACAGCATAGTTATAGAGGGACGACAAGGGGGAACTCGCTGAGAATTGTTCTGAAATCGATCTTGGGGGTTTTGGAGGTCAGGGCCAGGGGTGCAGGGTGCAGGTTTTGAGGGTTTATGGTTCGGGGGTCGGAGCTAAAGAGACAGAGAGAAGAGACAGAGACAAACCAAACAGAGACAGAGAGAGAGAGAGAGAAACGGAGAGACTGAGAGCGAGGGAGTGGGAGAGCGGGAGGGGGAACGACCGAGTGCTTGTTCTGAGAGTCCTAACTAGAGGTCTTGCATCCCAAGCCAGGGTTCAAGCATTCGGGTTGGGAGTCGAACACACGAAATCGCACACTTAAAGCCCGTCACCCCTTCATAAGCGTTTATTCGCAAAATTGTCACCTTTTCAGATTGTTGATTTCTTACATCTTACATGGTATTTGCTGTGGGTTTTTCCCATATTCTATGTCATCTTCTATGTAGTACACATAACACAGTATGTATTGTACGTTATTCTGAAGGAGGCTCCGGTGTAGCTCTTCTCTTATTATGAGAATAGCACTAGCACTAGCCTTAGTGCTAGTATTGGTACTAGTATCACGTCGTCTTCGTATTAGTATGAGTTTTGGCTTTAGTATTAGCTAAGCAGTCGTTCGCATTAGTATTAGTCTTGTTCTTCCAATAGCAAACGAAATAGTAACAGGAAATAATAATAGAATATGGATAATGATAGAAGTAGAATATTTAGTAATCATCATAGTAGTAGTAGTAGTAGTAGTAGTAGTAGTAGTAGTAGTAGTAGTAGTAGTAGTAGTAGTAGTAGTAGTAGTAGTAGTGGTAGTAGTAATCTTAATAATCAGAATAACAGTAACAATCATACCAATCACAACAACCACAAGCATAGTAGTCGTAATCACAATAAATATAGTCAAAGCAATAACAGTAATAGCAATAGGCATAATTGCAACACGAAGAATGACTTGTCCTTCAGGTTCTGTTTAGTTATTAAGATTGTTCTTGTTGTGTTGACTATTATTAATGCTATTTCTTTTCTTTTGTACTATGCCCCCGCCCTTCGATTTATCGCCTGAGGTTTATGTAGGGTTATATATCCGGGGTTTAGGATTGCGTTTAGCGTTTACAACCCAAACCCTACTGCAGCCCTCCGCATAGTCTTTGCACGCCCTCGCACACTAAGCCAAAACGGGCTTGGAACGCCAGAGCCCAAGATAAGACCCCTGCTCCCAAGAGGACCGAAAGGTAAACCCTCTACAGCCCCAAGTGCCCTACACCTCTGAGACTTTTCCTCTCCTCCCCGACCCATCCACGAAAAGAGTGAACAGCGGTGAAACCTTGGACCCCCACAGCCGCAAACCCTGAAACCCTACACCCAGAAACGCAAAGCTGAACAACCCTAAACCCTAAACCTGAAGCCAAGAAGCCGTAACGGCGAGGAACACTGTTGGATCTCGGAGATCTGCCTTTGGGCATCCTGGGCGTACCAAGGAGAGCCCCAATCTCAGTAGAGTTTCTCAGAAACTTTACTGCCACCACTCCCACTCCTACGCACAGTTGTAGAAGTAGCAGCAGCAGGAGCAGGAGTAGTAGTAGCAGTAGTAGTAGTAGTAGTAGTAGTAGCAGTAGTAGTAGTAGTAGTAGTAGTAGCAGTAGTAGTAGTAGTAGTAGTAGTAGTAGTAGTAGTAGTAGTAGTAGTAGTAGTAGTAGTAGTAGTAGTAGTAGTAGTAGTAGTAGTAGTAGTAGTAGTAGTAGTAGTAGTAGTAGTAGTAGTAGTAGTAGTAGTAGTAGTAGTAGTAGTAGTAGTAGTAGTAGTAGTAGGAGTCGGAGTAGTAGTAGTAGTAGTAGTAGTAGTAGTAGTAGTAGTAGTAGTAGTAGTAGTAGTAGTAGTAGTAGTAGTAGTAGTAGTAGTAGTCGTGGTAGTAGTAGTAGTAGTTGCAGTAGCAGCAGCAGCAGCAGTAGTAGTAGTCGTCGTAGGAGCAGGAGCAGGAGTAGGAAGAAAAGTAGCAGTAGTAGTAGTTGTGCCACGACGACAAACGACGACTACTGCTGCTGCTCCTGCTCCTGCTCCTGGTCCTGCTCCTGCTCCTGCTCCTGCTGCTGCTTCTGCTGCTGCCACCGGCAAATCACTGCCTCTGCCACTGCTACTGCTGCTGATCACGACTGCTGCTACAACAACAACTGCTGCTACTACTGCTGCTACAACTAGGGTGCCGGCTGCCAGCGCACTGACAGGAGACCTTGTGGCAGACGACGTGTCTCGATTGGCTGCTTGATTTCAGCAGTGCTCAGAATTTAGGGTTCAGAGGATATCAGGGTTTATGGGTACACAAAGGGACGCTGGCTGGAGTTGTTATACTCAGAACTCTGTACGAATTGCAGATGCCCTAAAGGGGATGCTAGTTGAAGTTATGATGCAGAACTCTGACCCTATCCTAAAGAATTGCAGGTACCCGCCAGGGGCTGCTAGTTGGAATCATGAGATTCAGGCTTCTGTCACAATGACTCCTTGCTGAGTTCCCCCGAGCCTCAAAGTCTTCGGGAGGCCCAGGCCCGTTTCGGACCTCTCCGTTGAGTCCCCAAACCAACGAGCCGAGGTTACGTGCAGCCTAAGCCTGGGTTTACGGTTTGGGGCCCAACTTTGGGTGTAGGAGCGGAGAACGTTTCGGTTGCGGTATGTCGGTTGCATGTTCGACGCCATTCGATCGTGACGCATCCGCCCAGAAATTGTGTACAGATAGAGCGGAATATGCCAATTGCAATTTTCTTGAAAATTGCTGCAACTCTACCGGCTTTCGTGTCAAATATGAAGGGATGAGAGAGAAGAAATGAGATGTTCGTCAGGCTCTTCGATTCGAGTCTTGGAGTTAACCTTCTGGAGTTTCCAGGGTTGACATCATCATCCAGGGGTTGATGAGCCCTACCACATGAGTTGCCCAGATGAGACTATTCACAAGGCTGTCCTGCGTCGGGAGCCGCATCGTCGAATCTGCATTAGAAGGCGCAGGCTCGCCTCTATCTACTTACAGCCTCAAGACCCAGAGGCCGCCCCAGCTCAGCTGTTCCGACATGAATAGTCTGGCACAAAATAGTACACGGATACATCGAAAACACGCGTGAACCACGCCATCCTGAGATTGTCCTCAACGCGGATGCTTTCGGTGTCCCGGCGGCAAGCCGCAGTCGTACTTTGGATCCAGAGGGCGAAGAGTCAACTTTGGCGATCCAAGCCCCAGCCACGATGAAAGTCGCCCATTTTGCTTTGTCCCGGAGCTTTACGATTGTTGTCTTTGTAGCAAGGGATGACTGCCATCTCGGCAGAATCCGACCCCTTATCGCTGCGAGCGGCAGATAATCAGTGTGGAAAGTGGCACCGGGGTTCAGGATGCAAAGCCGGACTGTTCGGGTGGCTTGTTTCTCTGCCTTGATATCTTGGCCTGTAGTGTTGTAGTGCAGTAGTGATACAGCAGTAGTAGTAGTAGTAGTAGTAGTAGTAGTAGTAGTAGTAGTAGGAGTAGTAGTAGTAGTAGTAGTAGGAGTAGTAGGAGTAGTAGGAGTAGTAGGAGTAGTAGTAGTAGTAGTAGTAGTAGTAGTAGTAGTAGTAGTAGTAGTAGTAGTAGTAGTAGTAGTAGTAGTAGTAGTAGTAGAGTAGTAGTGGTACAGTAGCAGTACAGTGTTACAGCAGTACACTGATTCCTGCTATTCCTGTCCGGTCCGTGAAAGCCTTGAGCCGGTAGATGATGATAAGGTGTTTAAGATGGATGAGAGGCCACCGCAGGAAAACCTAAGGGCCAACCAACCTCACGTACACCTCAGGGGCAACCGCTCGAAAACCCCACATCTTCCCATGCAACCTCACAACAGCCTAGGAGATAATTTTTCAAGGAACCCTTATAGTACCCTTATTATAGTAACCTTTTATAGGAACTCTAATATATCCCGAGTTCTCACATCAACATCATCACATCATGCCATCCGAACCACCTCCACGAAGAACTCTCGCCACACGTTCGCTAAACAGTGGTGTTTGGGATAAATCTGAGGCCCGATAAGCTTTATTAAAACAATTTAGAACCTAGGACTTGGCAACCCTAAGACACAACCCCCAATACCTACAACCCCAAAACCCCAAACACCCCAAAAGCACTGACCAAGGCAATTTATTCAAAGCCGTGGTGGATCCTTGAAACATAATTAACACCGCCCTACCCTAAACCCTAAGCTGCAGCAGTAACTCTTCTTGAGGTCAGATCATCTCACAGTCAGAGAGCACGCACAAAACCGCGATTCGCTACGCCCAGACCTTTGTCGATGACTGGACAAGGTGCAGAGGGCTTCATACAGAAGGGTCCTGTAAGCTGTACGACCGTTTGAGACGCATAAGACCGTCTCTAACCCTCTAAGACTCAGCGTATATTTCCCCCACGATACACAAAAGGGCGGCCTTAGCCCTAAACTCTAAAACCGCCCTGAGTCATGGATGGACGGATTTGGAGCCGAGCAATGACAACTGGGACTTGGACAGCAACGCGCCCTGGCCAATCAGCGGGTTGAGTATGGGGGCCTGAATAATTGGAATAGGGCCTGGGGGGTGCATTATACTATACTTCTAATATTTTGGTAAGGAAGCCAAAAGAATGGAGGAGGTTGTTCGAGATTTCGGGTTCTACATGGTTTAGCATACGCAACTCCCGGAAATAGTGAACAGGCCTAGCAGTGTCTCTGGAACGCAAAGCCCTAAACCCGCTTTTCAGTTGGATCCCGGGTCAGACTCCGAACCCCAAAACCCTAAAACCCCAAAACCCTAAACCCTAAAACCCTAAACCCTTAACACCACGTACTGGCGTGTCCTAAGTGGTGCTTGACAGCTGGCTCTTGTGTCTAAGTGTGACATGGGAGCTTTTTCGCTCTGGTGATACGTGCCATGGCTAGTTAACGAATGTCCAGGATCGCTACAGACCTTGCCAGGCTTTGTCCGAGTGTGAGTGTCAAAAAAACCCATCAAAGAACCACATGCCTCGCCTGGACTGTCCGAGTGTGAGCACCGAAGCCCGCGTTTTCCCAGAGCCGGCAGCCCTCAATCCGACTCCGAGTTTCCGAAAATAGGGGTCCCTTTAAGGGTTTCCTTTAAGGGATCTATATATAAGGGTTCGATTAAGGGTTTGGGGTTTAGGGTTTAGGTTTGGGAGTTTCCGAAAATAGGGGCCTTATTCTAAGGACACCTAAATAAGGTACCCCTAATTTTCGGAAACTCCCCTATGTTGACCTGAAGCTCCGCATCCCAGGCCGAATCTCAAATCATAACATAGGGCCTAGGGGGGGCCTTAGTAATTCGAGCAGGGTGTTCGGATCTATATGAGGGCTGCTTCAAGGGATCTATCATATATCTATAGTAAAGCTTTAAATCCTAAACCCTCTAAATCCTAAACCAGGGTTGCGAACATGTAGTGTAAGCCGACTTTCGGACGAGCTCCCTTCGGTGCGACATTGTCAGCTGGGCGGGTGGGAAAAACCCGAAAACGCTTGGAAGTCCTGCGCCCAAAGGCCTTGGAGCCGGAACGAAAACCCCAAATCAGCCTGAAGTGTTGGGAGGCAAACATCACGGTACCATCGGGGCCTCAATAGTTACCTATAGTATAGTTTGAGGGTTCCTTCTTTTGAATACAGTATTTTGGGCACCAAAACCCTATTCTAACTACTAAGGCCCCTACATCACCACTTTAGGCCTTCATGGTTTTAGGCTTATGGGCCTAGGGCTTCGGGTTGAGGTTTAAATTTTAGGACTTTGGCTCTAGTGCTTAGGGTTGAGGGTTTCAGGGGCGTGTGGTTCGGTGATTTCGTTCAGCAGGCTGCCCAGAGTACAGATGGCCATGGATGTTATGGGAGTGTCGGCAAATTCGGGGTACCTTGTTTTGGGTTCCCCTATTTTCGGAAACTCCCTTATGCCGAAAATGCTAACCCCAAGCCACGTAGAACTAAATCGAACGACAGCTGTTGAAGCCTCAAATCACCAAGCCACCAGCCGTAAGCCTAAACCCCGTGGCCCGTGACCACGAATACCCCCAGGCCTACAAAACGCGAGCCCTAACCCCAGAAACCCAAACCATGTTGCAGCCGTCTGGATCATGTAGGATAGTCCCCAAATGCTTGTACGGCCCCGAAACCCCAAACGCGCATTTCACACTTTTACCCGGAATGAAAGTCTACAAAACTGTTTATTAACCATCGTGGTTGCCACAACATCCTTATTACGGTACACTAAGTAAGAGCGTTGCCTTATGAGGGTATAGCACAAAATCGGGCTTCCTTAGCCATTTTAGCTCAAGAATTCCGAGAAGCGTCAGTGACACGATCGAATGAAACCCCTAAATCCTCTAAAACCCTCTAAACCCTGTAAACCCCTAAACCCTCTAAACCCTCTAAGCCGTCCAAACCCTAAACCCCTAAACCCCTAAACCCTCTAAACCCTCTTTTTTGCATCCAGGCCTATTGCGACTGCCGGGTACCTTGAAGAAAGAGGAAAAACCCTCCAAGCTTTCCAAACCCTCTAAACCCCTAAACCCCCTTTTGTATTCGAGCCAGAGGCCTCCGAAGCCAAGGGAGTGGCGCGTTGCCTCTCGACACGGTTTAGGATTCTTAGGGTTCTTACGGTTGATGATATAAATCCTTAGGGTTCCTTTAAAGGGATCTATAGGGGTGCCTTCAAGGGCTTCCTTTAATTAAGGGATCTATAGGGTTTAGGGTTGATGACCGGGCTGCTGGACAACGAGGCCTGCTGCAAAAAAGGGTCGATGATATAAATCCTGCATTACCTTAAGGACCCTAGACTATGGGAATTATGGTATATTCCTTATTGTGGGTAATGCAGGATTTATATCATCAACAGTAGACCAGCCAAGTGGGAGCCAAAAAAAACAGTAGGACCCGGGCTTTCAGGGTTCATAGGGACTCTGGGGCTTTTTACGGTTCTTCGGGCTCTTCGGGTTCTTCAAAGTCTTGGGGTTCTCGCGGTTCATAGGGCTCTTGGGGCTCTTAGGGTCCATAGGGCTCTTAGGGTTCTGAGGGCTGTCTGGGTTCTTGGGTTTCTTAAGGCTTACAGGGCTTAGGGTTCTTGGGTTTCTTAGGGCTTACAGGGCTTACAGGGCTTTATGGGGTTTGTGGGTTGAGGGTCTAGGGGTAGGGCGAGCCTTAGGGTTCAGGGCGCGAAGTGGAAAGCCAGTGGCAAAGAGTCATCATGCTATGCTGCATTGCAGTAATGTGGGGGTGATATTAATAACCCCCCTGAAGTTGTTTTGCGCGGGGTTCTCTGGGAGCAGGGTTTGGGTTCGGGGGTGGTAACAATAAACCTGTGGCAGTGTCTAGAGTTAGTAGTATCAGGAGTGTTTGTAGCATTTAATGAATGCTGGCTGGGTCCAGGGCCCTCTTCGGCTGAGTTTTTTTTAACTTTCTTAGCCCGGTAACTAATTTATTTGGATATTTGGGGCCCGAAGATTTTAATTGTCACCCCCTTTTCCACTCCGGCCCGGACATCGGTTGGTTGGCCTTATCTGGCTTGGAATCTCGGTGCAACTTAAACTCGTCTTCCGCCCGGAAATCTTGCCCCGCTGAATATTTTGATTGTCAGCCGGTGCATGAATGTGACTCTAACATTATACTCGATTCCGTGGTGCCATATAGGGTTGCGGTTCAGGAATTCAGGCTTACCTGGACCCTAAGAGACCACCTACCTGTTTAAGGACTGATGCAAAAAACACAAAATCAGGAACCTAAGTTGGTCGGTGTCTTGGGGTTCAGGAACGGTTTGGGTGGCACTTTTTGACACTAAATGCGGTTGGAGGGGTTTTCTACGCAAACTCCAGCCTGAGAGTTTCAAACATCATCAAATTTCGTTTGGTTTCGTAGGGTTTGGACAGATGTTTTTCGGGGTTCGCCGCAAGGTTTGCAGCGTCTCATGGTAGCCTAGGCAAGTTTAGGGGTTGATGGACGGAATTCCGGCATCATTTCCATTGATCACCCATTTCGGTGAATCCTCAGCTTGTGTGGTTCAGTGCGATTAAGTTGAGAATGCGGCCGGGTTGTGTCCATCACCAGAAGGGTCAGTAACCTTCAGTTTCAGTCAGTTGAAGTTTTCGGCAGTTCTTGTGTTGTTATCCGTTTGTGGAGTTCCGCCTCCCATCATGGGTCTTCGGATTTGGGCTCGATTTGGGGATGAGGGTCCCAGTGTCCACTGAATCGCGAGCTTTCTGGTTCCTGTTTCTTTCCATAACGTGTCATCAGGTCCGGAGGTTCTATGTCAGTACATACCGTAGAGCTCAGTTTCTTTGTTTTGAAGCTCAGTCTTGTTTGAGGGAGGTTCTCGGATCTGGTGCTTCCGGTCCTGCATCCGATAGAGACGCGGCCAAGAGCCCCTAAAACCCTGAAGCACTACTTGGAGGTTCAGGGGTAGCTATAAGTGGGGTTATAAGTCCCCTAATATGGGTCATAAGTCTACTTACCCTACTTATAACCCTACTTATAACTATCCATGAACCTCCAAGTAGGCCCTAAACCCCATACCCTTGTAGAATCCCTATAGATCCCTTTAAAGGGACCCTTAAAGGAACCCTTATAACTACCCAGTATAGTTACCCTACTTATAACTATCCATGAACCTCCAAGTACCATCGTAGTAGATCGCAGCGCTAGCTCCGATGTTCCAAGGCGCGGGGCGACTACTATTTGCTTAAGAACCCCCCCCCCAAAAAAAAAAAAAAAAATATATATATATATATATATATTCCTTATGGGGGTAATATACAGATTATTATTTTTATTTTTCGGAGGTTTCTAAAGCAAATAGTCCTTAAAGGCCTAGAAGCCCGGAAGCCGACCGAAACCCGAAAGCCCGAGCCCCAGACCCTGCACCCAAACTCAAAGGGGAAAAGGAGGGACACTTAATGGGGACCCCTGGGTCCCTATAATGGGCTATATGACGGGTATATAATAGCTATATTGAGGGTATATACCTAGAGGTCCTTGTTAAGGGTCCCTCCTTTTACTCTTGGAGTGGGTTCTAGACCAGAAACCCTGAATGCTTGAGGTTGCAGTTGGGCGTTGTGTTCGCGACAGCCGAAGCCCAGCTTGAAGATTCTGCCCGGATGATTTTCCACGAGCTGCCAAAAGTCCCGGCAAAGGGGCATGTCCTCACTGGGGGTTATCTGTGGTAAGGATTCTAGTATTTTGTGCTGTGCATACGGTTGTTTCACCTTTCCGAAACTACTTCCGGAAAAGAGGACAAGGATGAGTAGATAGAGAAATGAACTTCTGGTATTGGTTGCAGGGTTGCCCATGATATAGTCTCACGCAATATGCAGACGGCATAGGGTTTAGGGTCTCCTCTCCTTGCTTTGAAGAAGCTGGGAAAGGGGGCTGTTGCTGTAACCGGGCTGCTGGACAACGAGGCCTGCTGCAAAAAGGGTTTATTCCCCCTGCTACTGCTGTGCTGAGGTGTTTTTCGGGGTTCTGGTGCAGGGCTGAGGATGCAGGTGCTAAACTTTCCAGTCTACCAGGACCCCCCCAAGAGCCCGTTAATGCAGCTATTCTGGAATTCAGTAGTGGGCGTTTAGCGAACCCTAAACCCTAAACCCCATTCGAGGGTAGTTGGGGGTTCTAGGCAGGATTCAGGGTTTGGGGAAGCTCGTGCGGTCGGGAGGGGCAGGGATCGGGATTTAATATAGGGGCCTTAATAATTACGGTAAGCCTCATTACATCCGAGCATGAAAAAAGAACAGCAACAGCAGTGGTCTTCATAATCATCATGTAGGTTTAGCAATCATAAGAATGAGTATTATTGCCATTAATTAGCAGCAAGCGCGTTGAGACTGACATGTAACATACGCCAACAATATGGCTACGAATATTATGGCGAGCGCACGAGTAGCAAGAAAAATTGAGCCATTGTCACAATCACGAAATCTAATAGTTCTATCTATGATATTGGCACTGCCAATATAGGCACAACCATGCAAATACGACACTAGCCCCACGGCTCATATTGATGATTCAATAATGACAATAGTGGCATTAGTAACACTGACACCAAGAATAGTAAACAGAAGAGAGAACGAATAACTACATCAGTATTTTATCAACTAGCAACTCAACAAACCGACAAATACATACATAGACGTTCGTCGTAAATTCAACAGCAACAACAACAATGTCATTTGTAAGACTTGTATTGTGGTCACTCGGACAAAAGGTAGTCTTAAGTAGTGGCGATGAATATCAACTTACCTACACCAGTCTTGTTATCATCTGTTAGTATTCGTGAAAATATCTTGTCTTGTTTGTAGGCATCACTGAGAGGTTTGGCCACAGGCTTCTGGGAGTTTTGGCAGAGGCTTTTGCCCTATAACGGGTGAGCCACGAAGAGGCAATAACCCAGCAGCAGAAGCATCGGCCGTAGAACCGCAAAGCCAGAGAGCCCAAGACCCTTGCGTCAAGGATTGTGCAAGTACACCTGAAACATCGTGACGGGGGCTTCTTGACTTGGCTACGGTATTCCTCAACTACGGAGTACTTTAAAGCTGCACTGGGAACTCCTTTGTTGTCGTTTTTATTAGGGTACATTCCTTAATTCAAGGGTTTCGGCTCTCTGAGACCTGACGCTTGGATGGTCTGGCTGTGAGTTGCCGGAGCTTGGGAACGCGGCATCCAGACCCTCCAGATGCTACGAACAGGAAACCCTGTGTTCCATTCTGTTACATCGCAGAATTCTGCGCGTTTGTTTATTTCACGCCGAAAAAGCGAGGTTCGGGGAAGCCGCCGGAATCGGTCTTTGGTCTAAGCTTCAGTGTTCAGGGCATCCTAAGCCGCTCACAACGTCCCCGAACCTGCCGAACCTGAGACTAGATGTCTACGTAGATGTCCCTTGACGCGGTTTTTAACGTACCTTGGTAGCCACTGGCCAGGGCACCCGTGGCGAAGCCAACATCAGAATCATTATGTGATTGCCTGATGGTGGGTCATAACATGGCGTAAATAGTTGGCCAAACACCGAACATCCTGCATCCAAAATGCCCCAAAGACCCAAAGACATCACTGGTGTGGGTCTTGAGCCAAAATAATCGCATGCCTTCCTTCGGGCAACCCCCCAAACCCCGAACCCATGCCAAGCAGAGAGCGCCTTACGGCGAGAGACCCAGATGTCGCCCGGGTGGCTTAGAATACTGTGGTTCATCGCATCTTTGTCCGCCGACTGGGTTCAGGGCACAGGGACCCCAAGCCCTGAAATCTACACCCTGCATGCTATTCCTTAAACCCTAAATCCGAAAACCTCAAGCAAAAGTTTGGTCTTGCGGTGTCAGGTTTGTTGCATGGAGAAGGCGTGCAGTGATCCCTTGTTAGGCTCGAGGATGTTGGGTTACGTGTTTCTCACATGTCTGGAGTTCCAGAAGTTCTGCATACCGGGTTGTCAGCTCCCCACCTTTGGATCCTTAAGGTTTTTGTCTAGGTCCTAAGCATAATGCAACCAAACCAATGGGGCGGCATTGGGGAGTACGCAGTGCAACTAGGTCTTCCGGACGCTTGCACGAAACGCGGAACCCGAGTCTCTAAGCCCTAAAACCCTACGTAAGCCCCTAAACCCTAAGCCCTAACTAACCTCGCCTGTGGACATCGCTTCCTGCCATGCGAGAGGGAAAAAAAACCCTAAACCTAAGCCCTAAACCCCAAGCCTTAAGAGTGTGAGCGCCGAAACCCTGAGCCTTAAACCCTAGCCAGTAACGAAAAGGAGCTTTCAAAAAACAAAAACCCTAAGCCTTAAGCTCTAAACCCTAAGCCCTAAGCCCCAGTCTACAGCCCTTTCAGGATTCCAGGCTTGGTGGTTCCTGGTCAAAAGGCCGGGCCTTGGGTTTAGCCTTCAGGGGCCCCTGAACTAACGGGTTGGTTGTCAAAATTATGGCCCCTTTGGGGGTACCCTAAATATTTAGGTGCCATATTATAATAAGGACCCACAAAGGGGCCCCAATTTTGACAACCACCCATATAAAGCCCTATTGCTATAACCCCGAAACTTTATCGCCCTATAGCCCTAAACCCTAAACTCTACATCCCTAAACCCTATAAACCTAAACCCTACATTATAATGACCCTAAGCCCCGTAGCCCAACCCCAATAAGCCTTCTGAAGCCCATAATGGACGAAGTGAGTCGCTTCAGGTCGAATTCCCCTTGAACCCGGACCTGTTGAGGTTTGGGGTTTAGGGTCTCGGTTTAGGGTATAGGGTTGTGCTACTGGACTCAAGTCTAGCCAGGCCTCGACCTAAAAGGGGTATAGGGTTTCGGGTACAAGGCTGAGGGTGTTACTTTAAGCTGTGCCCTGAACCGCCTTGTCTTAACTAAGCCCTAGACTTAGACCAAGAAGCCGTAACCCGAAAAGCCCTTGTTATCCCTATGCCTAGGCTGTCGAGATTTGGCTGCAAAAACATGGCCCTGAACTGGACCCAGAAGTGCTTCTTAAAGCGGACCTTCAAGAAGGGGTTGCTCTGACTCAGCGCAGCAGCTTGGAGAGTCGGTTTGGGGTTTCGGGATTTGGCTTAGGTGCTTCACTGCCTGTCTACGGTTCGTGGTTTCAACCAGAATCCTGAACCGACCTGCAACGCCACAGGAAAAAGCCCCAACTGAATGCTCCCGCCCTACAGCAGTCCAATCTACTTGGAGGTTCATGGGTAGTTATTAGTGGGGGTTTGACGTAGGGTAACTATACTTACAACCCACATTAGGGGACTTATAACCCCCCGTTAGAACTACCCATGAACCTCCAAGTAGGCTTGTCCGAGTGCAGAAGCGGTCCATGATTTGCTTACCTTTGGTTAGTAGGGAATGGAAGAATGGTAGTAAGAGCAGTTAGAATTGCACCCCATTCCTCTATTCCCTAATACAGCAGAAGCCCAAATTTCCAATAGCCTCAGTCCTTAAGAGTAATGTATAAGGAATCCCAGCACTATTTGGGCTTAATCCGGTTTCCAACTTTATGGGGTTTACCCTAAACCCTAAACCCTTAACCCCTAAACCCTACTGTAACCCAAGGTTTGTTTGGAGCAGCCCCGAAGTTCGTAGGCTTGCTTGTGCACGCTCTGCGAAGGCAGTCCGGGATGCTTCTGTTGATGATATAAATCCTGCATTACCCATAATAAGGAATATACCATAATTCCCATAGCTTAGGGTCCTTAAGGTAATGCAGGATTTATATCATCAACCGTTGCGATTCGCGCCGGGATTTTGGATTGGACATTAAGGTGAAACCCTTTTGGGGTTATATAATGTAGGGGCCTTGATTACTTATACTATTTTTGGGGCCCTTTCTTACCCCAAAACCCTATTCTGATTATTAAGGCTCCGATATTGTATGGTTTAGGGTTTCGAGGTTTGTGGGAGCTTGCGGGATCCAAAAAGGTTTCAAGAGATTTGTTTAGCCCTTCCGTACCCGTACAACGCACCGCCTCTTCCTCCAGCTCTTCCATCAGGATTTGGGCACATTTGGATCATGTGCTTTTCGTAGATGGGATGCCGTTGCAGGCCGCAGAGAGGGTACCAGGCAAACGTGAACAACCACTTGTATGGTATTCAGTCCATTCCGGCACTCTGCACCCGGAACTGCAATGCACTCCTTTCGGTTGCCCACGGCGGGGATGCTACCGGCATTTGTGCCGCCACCCGCCGGCAGTCCACTGAACTGTAGGTGAGGGGCCCTCATCCCAAGAACACGCTGTGTACATCGACACGAGCAGCACTGGTAATACTGCAACTGGCAGTTCTGCGACGACGACGACAGCTACTATGGTTACAACTACTATTGCTGCTTCTGCTACTGCTGCTGCTGCTGCCGTTGCCGCTCCCGCTGCCGCTATCGCTACCGCTACTCACGACGACGACTACTACTACCACCACCACGCCCACCACCCCCACCACGCGCCCACGATCACCACCACCACCAGCACCACCACCACTCTTACTACTGCTGCTACTGCCTGCCGCTGCTGCTGCTGCTACTACTGCTACTACTACTACTACTACTACTACTACTACTACTATCATGAGGTGATCTTGGTCCTAAAGAGGACGAGGTTATACCATGTCCAAAACGTATGCCGCGGTCAC